ATATTCTGTCTGATGTCAAATTTGTAAAACTGTTATATTCAGTGGTTTAAAGTGGCAGTGACCACTGACACAAAGGCCAATGCATCTTCAGAAAACAACAGATTCAGAGTTCAGGCTTGCAGAATAATAACTGACCAGGCAGAGTCAAATTTGGAGACCTTGGGTTCTTTTCTGGATCTTTTTCAGCCATTTTCAACAGCAATTGTGACAGAGTTGAGCTGCAGTGGGAAGTGTTATCAGAATGACAGGTAGCGTGGTTTGTGAATGCATTTCAGTGGCTGCATTTACATGGGCACAAATAACCGGAATAAATGCCGATCGGGATAAAAATGCGTCATATAAACATGTCGATCGGAAGATTCTGATCCAATTCGGCTCAATCGGACAGAAATTGGATTCCGATCGAGAGGGGTGATTTATGCCGATCTTTATTCTGAAACGTGTCCATGTAAAGAGGTATTCTGATCGTGACTCTCTTACCTGACTTGGTCTTCACTCTTTTGCCTTTGGTTTATGTATTGAGGCCAGTTGGCTACAGGAAGTTCCATTGTTAACACTCTGGCCTAAAACAACCACGGGTGCCGTGCCTGCTCTTCCGGTAACATAACAAGGCGTACATACAGCGTAATGATGTCACATTTGCACGCACAGTGCAACCTTTGACAGGACAATAAATTAAGTGAGCAAGCGCGCCATCTAGTGACACTATTGAACAGGGGAAAAACTACTGAATTGGGAGGAGTGAGCCCTGACCGCGTTGACAGCACAGGCAGAAATACAACTCTTCTTCTACGGTTGTTTTAACGAAATCAGACAACTCTGCGCATCATGATCGGATTGTTTGATTTGCGCCCATATAAACTGTGGATTCAGATTATCCGATCCCTCAAATTTTTAATCGGATCCATACACAAGTAAGTTGGTGTCTAAACTGATTTTTATATCGTCAACAAGACGGTGTCCCGATTGCACTTGTTGGAGCAGACTGTGTGCAACAAAAGGAGAATCAGACTCAGAGCTGGATCAAGAAATTTTGCACATGGAAACGTGGCCAATGCCTAGTTAATTTGCTGTGTCTCATGATGACACATATCCCACCTGAAGACTGACGAACATGCAGAAAAGGATGATAATGGGAGGGGATCACAAGTCTGGAGTACAGAGAAAGAATAGGTTGAAATGAGGAAGACTCCGGCTCAAATGGGGGCATTTTGCTTTGATACCTTTCATCAAAACATTTATAGGGCCAGACTTTAATGGGGTTCAGGTCAGGTGAGTGGGCCGGCTAATCAAGCTCAGTAACATGGTACAACAGTGAGCTGATCATTAGTAGTTTTGGTACTGTGCACAGGTGCTGTGTCACCAGGACAGAAAACCTTTCATTCCATCCTGTCAGTCTCAGGGTTGAATTTTAATGAGGTTATTTCACTGTGCAGAAGACACAACATCCTGCATATTTAATGTGAGCTGAGGTCTAACAAGCGTCCAAAAATTTGAAAGAGGAAGATGTGTTCACCGTCAGCAGACAGGCAGGCAGGCAGACGGTTAAACAGAGGCTTAGAGGCAGTCAGAAAAGAGTGACACTGGCTGAGTGAAGAGGGAATCAAAGAGGAGAGGAACAGATCTGTCCTTGTTCTCACTGGTCTTTAAAAAGCACTGAAAAACTTACTGTGTGGTCTCTGCTATGTGCAAAAGTATGCTGCTTACCTCTCACATGCACTCTTGGTTTTCAAAATAAGAGCAGCTTACAGTGACATTAGATACACATTTTTGCAGTTTTAACAAGGGGGTTTGAACTTATCATATGCTGAAAACACAGCGCAAGCAGTGATCTCCCCTCCAGTCTAATCCAAAAGGACCAGGTCTTGCTCTGAAAAGGTAAAAACTGCAGAACTAATTCAACACTGGCTTCATTTGTTGTGCTCCCTTCTTCAGCTAACATGCTTTTCAGCTGTTGTGACAATGCCCAGCTGTCAACACTCGACGCTGCTACAGGAGCTCCCGTTGCTCTGAGCAAGGTCTCTTTAATAAGCCAACTTTTACAGACCATAACCTTAGTTTGAAGTTACTCACATCATCACAACAACATCCTCTTAAAACTCTTGAAATGTATCTTTATTTCTGACAGAGACAGGTGGCGACAACAGCAGGAGGGGAGCCCTGAGGTAAAGAGGAAGAAAAGTACAGGTAGGAGAATTTTCATCACCTAGAGACCAAACACACAAGTCTTATTTAGTTCACCTGAGTTAGCGGGCTTTAAACTAACCTAAAAAAAAACTCGTCCTCTGACCTCGTCTTCATCCTCAGTCACCTGACAGTTTGTAAAAACCTGTTCTCTACCTTCTCAGACTCCTCCTTCACTGCACCTGAAAATCCTCAACTTAAACCCTTGTTTTCTCCCTCTTTGCTTCCTAAACCCTCAGGTGTTATCCTTTTTCTCTAGTTTTGCTGTCATGTTTAAGTCCTCTTCTGCACAAATGTTTCATCTCCTCTCCTGCACAAAGGCCTGCTTCCTTTGACTCAATCAGCTCACTGTGTAAAAAAACCTCTTTATGATCTCCTGAAAACTACTGCAACCACGAGAGACAAATCTTTTATCAGTCTTCCCAGTTATTTCAGCCTTTAGAACAGCAAAATCACCTGAATTCACCTGGGTCGGGTTGGTTTGGATAGCTTTTTTTCCTTTATAAATGAAATTATCATTTAATAACTGCACCATGTATTTACTCAGATTGTCTTTGTCTGATATTCAAATTTGTTTGATGACCTGGAACATGATTGTGACAAAAAAATGAGAACAGAAGAGATCTGTGAAGGGGAAAAGACTCATTCACAGCTCTGTAGAATAACATCAAAAATCTATGAATAATATTTTATACATCATTAAAGCAAGAATGAGTTAAATAATTCAATTTACACCCGAGTGCTGGACTGAAACGCCACTGCAAAACATTGATCAGAGATAAATCTGCATTTTGGCACCACCACATGGGGAAATCAGATCAGTGCAACGGCGACGACAGAGACTCAGAACACTAAACCAAGTGCTTTTGTCTCCTCAAGGGAAAATATAATTTTTTTTTTTTTTTAACAATCTGAGGAAACCGCTGATTTTTAAAGTTTGAGAGGCTCATAAAACGTTTCACAATTTAAGAAAGAAAAAAATCAAGTATAAGATAGTGTATTTTGTTTACGATCATGTCCAGGGTTGCATCCAGCCATCTGATCGTGTATGATCAGAGTGAGAGCCACACACTGTGCTCAGTCAAGTATGTCCTCAGCACATCTCAGGCTGTTCTCCCTCGGTTCTGATTGTGGTTTTTACAGACTAAATCTTGAGGAACAGCTAAGATAGAGGAGGCTCTACAGTTTGGGAGGCTTAGAATTTCACCTCTGCTCTTTGCAGATGACATGGTATTGAGTATTGAGCAGCAAGGATACGAATCAGCACCTTAAATTCTAGGCCAAGGTTGTCCGCTGGAAAGGGGAAGGATACTCTTTTTGTGTGGGGGATAAATCTCTACCCCAATACCCTTTGATTAAATATCCCAGGGTCTTGTTCTTGAGTGAAAGTAAAATGGATGTTAGTTACAATAAGATGTGCAATTTCCTAACTTTCTTTCGAATCACTGGTTCGTGAAATTCTTGATTCTGATTGGTTGAAAACAAACAGGAAGGGTTGAATCCTGAAAAGTGAGACTGATGACAGGGACGATCTGACCACATCAAACCAGTTTCCAAGAAGGAGCCTGCAGCGCGTATCACCTCTGCTTGTTCACACTGTGGCAAAAGCTTGAGCTTCCTGCAGCATTCTTAAACTACATGGATGAAATCTTTAACAATACATTTCCACAAAGCTTTAGATTGGTGGTTGCTAACCTTCAGAGAAAAAAAAAGACTCCAGATAGGAAGAAACAGTGAGAGATGTTTAATTTGAGCAAAAGTGACATCAACCAAATTTTTTTAAAAAAGCAAACACTAAGCAGCCATAAACAGCAACAAGAAATGGGTTTCTGTTGAGTAAAAAGCACCATCAACGTCCAAATCTAAGGAACATCTTTTTCATCTTTATTTAAAAAAAAGTTTAAAATAACTCATAAAATCTTCCTTCTATTGATTGATACTGAAATTTCTCTTGAATTGTAATATTTCCAGTGTACCCTATGTTTCACAAATCTCCATTATTGTGTTTCTGGAAACAGTTTAAAGTCGACCTCATTAAGTGTGTATTGGGTTCGCACTGTGAGTATCTGTGTGTATGTGTGTTGGGCCAAGGGACAGGGTGACAGTAGTTGTTAGGGAGTCACCATGGTTACCGCCGCCCAGGAACAATGTTGAGCTGAGAATGCAGTGTTTAAAACACTGAATGGATTCCTGAGGCACACATACATGAACACATTAATTCACCGACATAATGAACACACACTTAGACAATAACATGATGCACTTATCGGAGAGTTAAAAGGGTCTTTATTAAAGGAAAAATGATCGGTCATTAGATTCTGGGAGTCAGACAGGGCAGCATGTGATTAAGCTGGAAATGTCTCTGTTGCTTTTTTTCTAAAGCACTGCAGGGCATCTTAATTTACTGAGCTGTGAAGTGCAAGCGGAGCGCTAAGTAACAATAAGAGGAACTCTTCAGGGTTCACATTCAGCTCAACTCTCTCACTTTGGTATTATTTCTGTGAATTTTCTGCACTTTTCCTCCCATGAACTGGAATTCCTGCACACGTAACTTTGTGTGTCACTCCTCTCTGAGTGCCTTTTGTTCAGTCCTCTGAGTGGGTTGTTGTGCATGTGTGTACATGAGCAAATGGGAGTGCAGAAAAGGGTGTTTGCCCCCAGCTCGAGCCCCTCCGTCCTCCCCTTGTTGTCATGCACAGGCGCTCTCCCTCTGGCACAAAGTGATCTGGCAGCACAAGAGCCATGTGTTTGAGCTCCACGCTTTGAAGAACTCCAAAAAACTTTTCAGAGAAACGACGTGTAGAAGAGGGGGAGACAGGGAGGGGGGTGAGGAGAGGGAGGTGACAGGGAGTGTGACGGGAGGCGATGGGGAGCTGCAGAGACAAACAAACTGGACAACATGTGCTAATCTGAGCTCAGTTAGTGGAGAAAACTTTGTTGGACAGTTTTTTGGGAATATTTGCAAAGAACTCAACATCAGGTAAGTGTGGAGGGTAAATATCTAACAGACTTTGTTGAAGGATAAACATTTCTTCTTTTGAAATAAAGAAAACAGGAATGGGGGTGTTTTGGCACTGCAAGTGCAGGATGAGTGAATTTATGGGCAGTTTATTAAGTTTTATGCAGTTTGATTTGATTTTACATTTGATTCTAAGTTAACAGGTTGGATCATATCTTGAAATTTGGTTGTTAGATTAAAAAAAATGGATTACAATTGGATTATGTAATCCTACTGTAGTGTTCTTCCTCAGTGTCCTGCAAACTTTAGAATATTATCTCAGATTACAGAAACTCAACATCACAAAATGTACAAATTCTTCAAAGAGTAGGATTTTTACTGTGATTTATTAAATGAATTACCCCTGTGACAGTGGACAGAGTGAGCACATGGGGTTGCAAATGAAATATTTCCATAGATAGCTTCACTTCCTGACATCCGCCCAGCATGCGTCTGAGAGTTACCAACTAATGAGCCTGACTTTGGACTACAAGACGGAGTCAGTTTGTTGTGTTTGTGTGTGTGTGTGTGTGTGTGTGTGTGTGTGTGTGTGTGTGTGTGTGTGTGTGTGTGTGTGTGTGTGTGTGTGTGTGTGTGTGTGTGTGTGTGTGTGTGTGTGTGTGTGTGTGTGTGTGTGTGTGTGTGCGTGCGTGCGTGTGTCTTTGAATTTAAAAAATATTTGAAAGTGAAAACTAATATTTGGCAGTTTCAATGCAACTTGTAAGAATTTCTTACCCACCTTCTACATCGGAAAGTCCCAGCTGGTTCAGCTCAGTGTTTGCAAAAGATTTAACCTGAAGATGTTAAACTGTTGTTCAGAGGTGCAGCACCACCCACACCTGATTCAAATGATCAGCTCGTTATCAAGCTCTGTAATGCCTCAGTAACGAGCTGATCATTTGAATCAGGTGTGTTGGAGCAGGGAAACATCCAAAACACGCAGGGCCTCCGGGACTGGACTTGAGAATCACTGCTTTAAAATGATGCTGTCATGTAGTGAGGGAATACGAGTGTTGTATTTGAGTAAAGAAAAAAAGAGAGAAATTTGAGTTATCTGTGCTGTAGGTGGCACGGTGCCTTGTGTGTGTGAAAAATAAGCCTTATGGATGTTTAGAAGTGAAACTGGCCAGTGGCTGGCAAGCTCATGTCAAAGGGTTAAGTTATAAAAAGCAGTCTGTGCCCCCTGCTATTACCTCAGTGTGTGGTCTGATCTGGCGCCGTCTCCACAGTTAGCAGCTGTCTCATTGCTTGTGGCGAGGTAAGGTGGGGAATTATCACACACTCCTTCTGGCAGTCCTTGATTGATATCATGTCAAGATTTATAAAGAATTGAAAATGCTGAATGCAAATTAAACTGCTGCAAAAAACACTTGGACACCAAACTGAAACACCATCAGTGGGAGCCTTAAGACTGTTTTATGGTATTTTACCTAAATGCAAAGAAATGTGGCGTCTTTTGAATTGTGAGTTTAATAACACATTCTAACTTTCACAACTTTTCCCATTTAGAAAGGTTCAAACATTTATTTTGTGTTTGATTTCACCAAGTTATAATATCTGTGATTCTCAGTTTGGTAAATGTCTTACTGATTCTTACAACATGCTGAAGCAAAACTTTATGCTTTCCTTTTACACACTTATAGGAACTTACAACACAGCATTTTGTGGCTGTAAATAAAGATTTTACTGGTACAGACATTTAATGACAAATGCAGCTAAATTTCATTCATAAATTGACCCACTACACCACTGCTGATATACCCACTTGGTTCCTGCATCCCTATGTGGATATGTACTGTTTAATCTCCCCCCTCACAGCGCTCACAGAAAGGCTTGAGACAGGAACTTCCCTGCTGACAAAGTTTTGCCATTCAGGACCTTAGGATTCTGGTAATTCTGTAAAGACCATATCCTGATCATGTTAATACAAACTGTTTTTTTCTTTCATGACACATGAAAAAGTATGCTGGATTGAGTGATCCTTGATTCAGCACTGATGTAGCTTATATACAACATCTGTTGAGAAATGGCCTTTATAACACAAGACAAACTTACCAGTAAGACAGATGTAACATTGAAGAATGAAAATAAACTAATAGTTTGATGCTTTTAAATTGCATTTAAAAGTTCACCTGTTTTATGCAATGATATTTTTTATCAATCAGTATACATGTTTTATCCTGATACCTCTTTCCTTCACGCTCCTCCCTCCAGCTTTCTGCACGATGCAGTGTGAGGAGCTCTCAGCAAGAGAGGAGTTCACCTACAGCCACATGCCCACGCTGGAGAGGGGCAACGGGACACTGGGACGGCGGGGGGACAGAAGGGGGGAGCGGTACAGGCCCGAGAGGGACAGTTACACGGTGGACGTCAGAGCTAGTGACCTGCAGCTGGCCCAGCCGGAGCCTCTGGGACACCCTTGCTTCAGCTGCAGGGCCTGGCTCTACAGCGTCCTTATCGGGGTGAGAGGGGGGAGATGGGCAGGGTCAAACTAATTTTGTGCTGCCATGTTTAGAAGAAGAGGCCAAGCTCTTATTGATACCCTTCTGTGCATTTTTTTTAGCTAATTTTAAAATGTTTTATCTGTCAAAGCCTCTCCACTCCTCCTGCATCCCTTGCAACCCTTCTTCACCCCACCTCCTCCTTTTCATGCAGGGTCTTTACTAGTGTCACACAGGTATTATCAGTGCTATCTGCTCTGTTCTCTACCTCAGGGCCTTTGCTATTGCTCTTCATACCTTGGCTTTTTATAGACAGTATGCACAAAAGGCAGGTGTGCTCTCCCTTCCTTGGGTTTTTGAATTCCATGTGAAAGCTTGGTAAGGGCAGAGAGCTCTATACCTAAAGAGTCTTTGCTGCTGCTCTGCCTACACTGGCTTTTCACACATGCAGATGGAAGGGCAGAGAGCTTTCAGAGCAGAGTCGTAGTTTATTGCATGAAAATAAATAATCCCCTATGTGTGTGTGTGTGTGCGTGCGTGCGTGCGTGTGTGTGTGTGTCCTCAGGGCAGTCTGCTCATCACCTCTGGTTTCTCTCTGTACCTGGGAAATGTGTTTCCTGTTGCAATGGATTATCTGCGCTGTGCTGCAGGCTCAGTGAGTGACTCACAAAGTCATATTCACACACACAAACTGATCAGCCATAACAGTATGACTAACAACACTGCGTAGACCCCCTACTCATCACAACAGAGCAAAGGCAGTCATAGCCTGATGAGGCATGTCTCCTCTACACCTGTGAAGGTGTCTGGATTTTTAAGGCATCAGTAGCTCATCCTTTAACTCTTCAAAGTTCTTTACAACTTCCTCAGTTCAGGCTGCATTGTTCACGTGGCCTGAAAGAGATTTGGATCTAATCTAATCTAATCTAATTGTCTAGTATGACTGATTTTATCAACGTGCGATATAGAGAGAACATTACACACCCCTAATGTTCCTGCTTCATCTACAAGAACAAAATGCGTACATGCTGCCAAATAAACCCCACCAAACTGTGACATTTTGTTAAAGCTGACTTGTGTACATTTCTGTCTCAACTGTTATGACAGTGTGGTTTATAATGCATAATTCCAGTCAGCATCCTCTCATTGGATTGTATTGTGAAGCTTGTGTTGTTGTTGTCATTGCTCTCAGGGCCTCCCTGCAGCGTTAGCTAGTTTTGCCATCGCCAAGAACAGACATGCTGCTGTGAGTAAACAACAAATACCCCAAACACTGACAATGATCATACTTTTATAGATTTTAAACTAGATTTCACCCAGTTTGAAACAAATCTAACCCTCTTATTTTCTCCCTTTTCGTAGGTGTCAGATTTCCAGGTGCTCTACGTGTCCACGTTTGCAGTGACAACCACCTGTCTGGTCTGGTTTGGATGTAAACTGGTCCTGAACCCATCGGCTGTCAATGTAAATCAGAATCAAACATCAGTTCCTTGGTTTCACTCCAGCAGATTGGAAAAATAAAGCTCTCCATCTCTCTTTTCTGTCTCTTCCTTACGTTCTTGTTCTCTCTCCACCCAGATTAACTTTAACCTCATCCTGATGATTCTGCTGGAGGTGTTGATGGCGAGCACTGTCATCCTGTCGGCTCGCTCTGCAGAGGACTGCTGCTGCCACAGAAAGGTGTGTGTGATTGATGACATTCATCCTCCTAACCTATGTCCTTCTCCTCTTCCTCCCCCTCCAGCTTTCCCTTTCTAATCCTAACTCTTCTCAATCTTTCCGCCTTTTAGCCGGCGATGTATGACAGACCTGTGGTTATAACGCCAGCAGTGTTCCCCACACGGCTCCTGAAAGCTTACTCTGTGAGTAATTCTTCCGCTTTCGCACATGTTTGTGTCTTGGCCAATCACTGACAAGTGTCTCAAACAGGTAATTGAAGTTATTGTTGGGATTTCTGCCGTTTTTGGAGGAATTATTGCACTCAACATGGACGCTTTGCTCCCTGGCCCATACCTGTCTGTCACTTTTTTCTGGATTCTTGTTGCCGTAAGTTTTTCTTTTCATACCGACGCGTGAGGCTACACCAAATGTAAAGATGCTGTTCACAACTGGCCTTATCTGACTGACCTTTCACCTTTCGCAGTGCTTTCCCAGTGCCATTGCCAGTCACGTCGTGTCAGAATATCCCAACAAATGTTTGGTGAGTACAAAGTGATCTGCAGTGTAACCCTGACATGTAAAATATGGAGCACACTACATCTCCTACAGGTTAGATGTCTGTGCAAACTAAACCATGGCTCCTCCCTTCACTTGGAGGAGCAGCTCTTCTTACAGCGTTTTCACATATTTGGTCCCTGTCAGCAATCCAAACAAACTCGGATTGATGACTCAGCATTTTTTGTCTACATGTGAACGATCCAACCGTACTCAGACCCCAGGTGTTCTCAGTCATAGACAGTGTATAGAATGGACGCCGTCTGCCTCCTTGCTGGGTGAAGCCACCCTGAAAACAGCACCTTCTGGTGACGGCTGCAATATAGGTCATAAATCCCGCCTCCTCCAGCAATCCCTATGAAGCTGTGGACAAACTTTATAAATTAATTACACAAAATATGTATTTTTCTCCCCACTACTTGTGATGTTGACATGTAGTTATTGTAAGACTAGTTTGTGCTCAAGTCCTCTTTTTTCTGTACAGCTCTATTTTAAAAGTTATTAGGGGGTTCATGTTTTCTATGATTGACACCTGATACAGCCAAAAGGTGTACGAAGATTGCGTAGCTCACCCGGGGGATACGCTGTTTGAGCCGAGCGTCATCACAGCAACTCTTGGCGACTCTCCCGAGGAATGCGTACAATGCTACAGCGCAAGTGGTGGAATGCGTAAAACACTACTGCACAATGTTGGTTTCAGGAGGTGGAGTAAGAACACAGAATTACCGAGAGCGTTTCGGCTCCAAATCCGTATACTGGTGGAAGGCAGGACCAAGTTGTCCATAGAATATTCAGTCTATTGTCTCAGTACAGTTTGCTAAAAAGCCAGTGGTACGATTCGCCTAATCTGCGCATTGTGAACACAAAGCCCACTGGGTTCACTTTGCCTTTTTCACTGCGTTATAACCTTCTTTGCTTGCCGTAGATTGGTGACGTGACTGCAGCCGGGGAAACCTAGAGCAGTAGAGAAAAGACAGCAAATCCAAAGTATGGCAGCAGATTGTGGTCATGGCTGTGGTAATGCCAGTAACAATGGCATTGGCTTTGGAGCAATGAGAGCATAAAAGCACAACTATCTACAACCCGCTGTAATGTGAAAGTCTTTCAAGAATTTTCAGAGGATGAAAGCAGCCGGTTATAATCGAACATCTGAACAGTGCAGAGTTAAATAAAAAAATACTAAGACAGAAGTACCTCGGCACTCACGAAAAAATACTCCACAGGACCTAGTGTGAACAGAAAGAGGACTGAAGCCACATCAAAACTGAACTGGACCAGAAAGAGAACCTGTTCCTCTTTGCAATAAACTCACAATGTGAACACAAATAGAAATAAGTTCCTTTGCTTTGGTCCACTTAAAGAGGACTGAGTTCTGTATTTTTCAAAAGGGACTGAGTGTCTCATCTTGTGTCATGACGGCCTCACAAAGCCAGAACTGTCTGCACGCATTATTTCAGCACAGTGCCAATGCTGCAGGAATGTCACATGCAGCCTTTATAAATAGGGCTGTCATGGAAACAGCAGAAATAAATCACTGCAGGATTAACAAGCCAACCATGGAGCAGGGTAGGCTACTGCACAGCTGCACAAACAACCAGGACTGCAGGCAGGCCAGTTTCTCAGCAGGACTCTTCTACTACAGAGCCATGCTGTTGTAATCCCTGTTGTTAGAATGTGGTTTGGTATCATATGAAGACCTTCCCTGAAAAATTCTTTGTCTGGATGTCAGCAGATGTTGCTCCTAAACCTGTAGATATTGTTCAGCATTAATGAAGCCTTCACAGATGTGGAAGATACCCATGACATGGACTCTAATGATCCCCACACCATCAGGGGTGCCGGCTTTGAACTGGGAGCTGGGAACAAGCTGTGTGGTATCTCTGCTCTTTAGAGAGGAGGATGCAGGGTCCATTATTTCAAAAAAAGAACGACAAATTTTAATTTGTCAGATCGCCGGACAGTTTTCCACTTTCCCTCAGTCAACCTTGAATGGGCTCATCACCCCTAGTTTAAAACTAAAGGGGCAAAAAAGCTCTCCAGATTTGAGTTCCCAAATTTTGTAATTGAGTTGATCTTTTGGATGAGCGATCTGCAGACACTGTAGAAAGTTGAATAACAACTTAAAAACCACCTGTTTGAATCTGCCTTATTATAAGTAATAGCGTTACTAGTGTTTGAATGTCTTTCTATTTTGCACTTAAAGCGTCTTTTCTGAGAGGGAGCATCATAACAACGGGAAGGCTTCATACTTAAAAAATGTCGCAGTCACACAAAGTTTTGTCAAACTGGGTCTAAAAACTCTTTTCCTCTCTATTTTCCTTCAACCCCTCGTCTCTCAGGTGGAGGTACTTATTGCCATCAGCAGCGTGACGTCTCCGCTGCTCTTTTCAGCCTCCGGCTTTCTCTCTTGCAGTGTGATCAGCTTTATTGAAATTTTCCTGCATGAAGTGCCTACAGCCAAGGTGAGTGAATTGAGGCAGAAATTCAGCAGCAGTGTGCAGTGTGCAGGTTTCTTTCATAAGTGTTGCCTCTCTGACCCTGGAACAGATTTTACACAAGTGTGAAATTGACTCATGGAGAAATCTCTCCTAATTATACCATTTCGTCTTTATCTGTGTCCGACTATGTGTGCGTGTACGTGGGTGTGTGTTCACAGCAATCCTACGACATCCTGCTGCTGATTCTGATGGTACTGCTGCTGGTGCAGGCAGTTCTGACCTCGGCCACGGTGGTGCACTGTGCCTCCTACAAGAGTCGACTCCGCATGGGGGCTCCAGAGAGCGAGGACTGTGTGCACACTCAGACACACTACTGCGAGGTAAGACAGGGTGAGAGCAGCAGAGATTTCATACTCCGTTATCTCTCTACTTCCATCAGGAACATAAAGATCTGTGCAGATTCACTCATTAAGATCTCATCAAAATGATAAACTAATAAAAGCTCATGCAGATATAACTAAATTTCCAAACATGCATGTCACTTCTCTCCTTGCATGTTTTCACTCCCTTTTTTCCCTCCCCTCTTTTTATTTTGCTCCCTCAGCAGCAGGCAGCCAATGGGGCGATGCAGGACTTTGACAAAGACAGAGCCTGGAAGGCAGTTGTGGTCCAAATGGCCCAATGAGCACTCTCACAGCACAGAGATAAGTTTGATGAAAACACGAAAAGGGGGGAGGGGGTATGCAAAACTTAGAGAATTGCAACGATAAGAGACAGATCAAGACAAAAACATTTAAGACGTATCCTGCGGAAGCCCTAAGTGGACATGCATTATATGTCGTGTACTAAATTTTTCTGTCAACAAGTTGGCGTCAGTTGATTCCGGCTTGACGTCAGAAGACCATTATTTGTAACTGCAGAGTTCTAAGGCACACCTTTTGAAGAACCCAAGGTCGCTAATTTAACTAATTTTGAGAGACTCTGATCTATTAAAGTGTACGCTCTACCCAGAAACTCTTCAGCACTTTACTTTGCCACCAGAAAGCTCGTTTGTTTTTGCACTATTTGATATGGAGCTGATCTAGGGATGCCAGAAGATAAGGACGCCATTACCATTACACACCTGCTTCAGCTCAGCCCTGCAAAAATAACACCCCTGAGATGTCACCAAGCTCTCCATCATGTGCACTCTCTTTGATGCAAGCTCATGGAGAAACACAATCACACACAACTCGGGGACAAGCCTCAAACACAAATCTGAGTGCTGATAGGCTGCATCCACTACGCGCACTGTACTGAATAGTCATGTGATCCAGCTGCAAAAATAAGAAAATAGCACAGTGTCATGTGTAAATGTACACATTTTTTTAATTTGAAAGTCCCTTTTTTCAATGTAATGCATCATTACAATACATGCATCAACATTAGTAAAGCAATACCCCTGTGAGTTTTCTGCATTTTAGTGCTCAGTGGAAGAAGAGGTGTCCGATGGCTCTTACGAGGAATGAGTTCAGACACACTGATTTGTCTGATTCTTGTTCCTCCCAAAACTCACCTTTGAAGAATCAGAGACTTAATCACTCTTTTTTTGTTTCCTGTACCCCTGCAAGCAGATTGTGTGATGCTTAACTAGCAAAATGTAGTCTAGCCCATCTTTATTAAGTGAACCAAGTGCTTTCAACTGTGACTTTTAGAAGTTACGAATAGAAAGCAAGTGGCATTAAGTCAGTGCCATTGGTAATACAGTAAATGGGCATGTATGTCTGCTCAGGGCTTCCGTAGATTTTTAAGGTGATAAAGAGGAAAAGAGAAAGTTGCAAAGGAGGGAAAACTTTTGTATTGAGATTATGATGAATATTTTAAACGTTTTTTTTGTTTGTTTGTTTTGCCTTATTGACTGTTTGCTGTAGTGCGATGTGAACTTATGTGGCTTTTTTTTAATAGTGCCAACTTGTGTGTACTATCAATGTTTGTGTGAGTCAGTCTGCAGTGGAAGAATGGTCAGGGCTTAAAAAATGTTTTTTGTGATACCTGAAATATTGAACTTTGCAAAACAGAGATTTTGTACAGGTCTAATTCTTTCTGATTTACTGGATGATGCCGTTATGTTTGCATCCCCTGGTCTGCTCTGCAATATGAAATGATGCTATGAACTTTCATTCAGAATATTTACCTCAGTGTGTCAGTTTTTCAAATTTGTTGCCCTCAAAAACAATTTTTGAAATCAATCTTTTTTTTTTTTTTTTTTTTTTAATTCTGCAGACTTTGTAAATCTGTAGCAGAGACTTCCTTTGACACTCGTGCCTGTAAGTTAGTGTGTGTTGGTAGTGAGACTCTGTCAGTATTAATGCAGAAGCTACAGTAGGACTGATTCACCTTTGTAGATACAAGTACAGATTTTAAGAGAAATTGTGTATGAAATAAAAGTTTGTAATCAACTGTAAATAAAGATGCATTTATAATGCTTTACAGTTGTTCTTGTATTATTACAATAAACAAGTCTGTGAAATTTCCACTGTCATCCTCCACTGACCCTTATTTGCATCGTGCAACAAATGTTTTTGTTACTGTTTAAAATATCAGGCTGTCAAGTTAAGTTTAAATATGCTTAGTAATGAGCTCAAAAACCAAGACAGAGTGTTGCCCCTGTTTTTGTTGGCATAGTTAGGGATGAGATTAGATTTTACAACTTTTGCAAATGAAGTGAGTAGCACATGTACGAACACATCAGAGGCAGCTTTGCAAGCCTGAAAATTAACCCCAATTTGTTTTGTATTGCTAATGGTGGCTGGAGGAGGCATCAACACCAGTTTTTTTCTTCAACTTCTCTAGTAAGTAGTATGATGCAAACCCAATTGTTGCAGTGTGGGTTTTAATTAAGACTTTCGAAGTCAAGACAAGTTATGTGGCTGGAGTGGGCTTGCTTTTTTCCTCAACATCCTGGCTGCCTCTGGTGTGTCCACAGTCCACTCAATTCACACTGCCTCATTCGTGTCATTAAGGACATCTGACAAGAAATCAAATCCAAACACATCTTTACATTAACTCATCACATAATCCCCAGGGATTTAATTCACATTTGTTGTAAACGTAGCGTTGCTCTGCATCCTTGTAAGGACTCTGTCTGCATTTTAACAGCTGTTGTATCCATGACAACTGTCGGTATATTAGGCTGAAAGTCACCAAATTACAGGGTCACTCTGAAAACGAAACATCAGCCGCCCACAATGCAAAGTGTGACAGGTATAAGTTTTTCTGTGCAGTGGGAAAATAAACTCCACGGTGCGAGGACAGCCCTGTGTTCATTTCACTGAGAACACAAAGAGAGAAATAAAACAATAGACAGTTTTATCATCTGAACTGTGATGAAACAAAGAGCTACAGGTGTGACAGGGCCCCAAAGCTGACTTACTGTATATTTAATCATGTTTGCTAAAACACCCACACAGCTCCACGAGTGTCCTTGTAATTAGTGTACTCTCATTTATTTGCAGCTCTGCCAATTTTCCTTCACTCCCTCTCTTTGTTAATTAACAGTCTTTCCTGAGTTTACTCTGCGCAACAGTGCACACAAAATATCTGTATCAGTAATAACAGTTATTTTCCCCTCAAACTCACAGAAACACGCATGAAAGAGCGTAAATGAAGAATTTAATAATAGCTTTAGTCCTTTTTTTGTTTGAAATAAGTCACCATAGAAGTGCATGAAGTGATTCAGTAAACAGACTCTTCATGTTAAAACAGTTCACATAAAGACAGAAGGGTGCAGACTTGGAGTAAGTATCTACAGGGTTAAGGATTTAGTATCTAATGTAAACCAGTGCAGATGTTTTGGTATTAAGTTAAGCTTCATGACCCCTGAGCTCTGGACTAAATGGACTCAAAAGAAGAAAAATATCAGATCTTATTCCAGTTTCTTCAAGTGCAGTTGACACCTACCTCCTCACACCACTTTGAGGCTTTAAAATTCACACTATAAAAATTTCTATCTTGTCGCTGATGGTCTTGTTTGCTTCTGTATGTCTAAATAAGACATTAACATGAATTTTGTAAAGATTAAAAATTCTCCCCAGAGGAGCTTTAAGCATGTAGAGATGAGATAAGCAATGACTGATATGTCCAAAAGGGGGCACTAAAATTTAGACGAGCTAAAAGTTCCTAACAGGAACTTTAAATGTGCAGCCAAGCAAAAGACACCTACTCCTTGGCAGTAAAAAAAAGGTGGTGGAGGTAGTCAAACCTGACCTAAATGATACCAAATACATACATTTTAAATTTTCTACAGCAGAGATGTCCAATGAGTCACACAAATAACACATTTTAGTTTTAGAAGAATGCCTGGTATAATGCATATGTCCATGAGGGGGCGCCAAAATCAACACAAAAGGAAAGTTGCTAACCAAGTGGATTTACGAAATCCTGAAACTGATTCCTCATCGTTTTAAAGCCATAAGGGTTCATCATTCCAGCCATATAGACTGCACATCCCAAAGATAAGGGTTAAAACACAAAACATTTTGTTCAATGGAAGAAAAATGTTTCTAAAACCTGAAGGAAAAAAAAGGTAAAAGTGATGCTTTTCATTGAAACAGCGGGTAAGCAGGCAGGACCACAACGGCAGGACATCTGCCAGAAAATAAGTACGTGACTTTAAGGGGTGTTGATCATTCAAAGTTTATGACACAGACTGATGGAGGATAGTTTTTGTTTTTTATAAATATTTATATTGCCTTTCTGAAATATGTGTACTATTGACCTTCAGGGCCACAATACAAAGAAGCAGGAAAAATGGTTTCTGAAAAAGATTGAGATCTCTGCAATGCAAACCAAACCAGGGGAGAAATCATACCTATGCATTTCTTTTGAGTATGACCTCTTTAATATATTTGGGAATTTGACATCCAACATAAGCAAAACACTTCAAAGTTAATATGGGTAACACAAGGTACAGAAAATTCAACTGTCTTCCGCCGATTTTGAGGGCATGTGAAACAGAAGGAGTACTGTTTCTAATATATAACAGAGGCTGCAGCTCTCTTCTGCAAGCACAGGAAGCTGCATCACATCTTAGACATGAACATCAGAGAGAGAGAGAGAGAGAGAGAGAGAGAGAGAGAGAGAGACCATATTTGGAGGCAGGCTGAGCTCACTGAGGAGGTGCGGCTCCTCTAACCGGTGGGAACCGGCTTGAGGAGGGTTGACTTGTGGCTCGCGCCTCCTCCGCACGCTTTCACATCGCCTTGTGGCCTCAAAGAACAGAACAGAACAGCAGAGGCAGCTGGACAACAAACAAACCGATCAACTGCAGTGAAAGTTTGTCACCTCAGCAGGGAGCGAGTGAATATTCAAAGCACAGATTGTAAAGGCTTGCTCTGGACATGACACTACTAACAAATATGTTTAAATTTAAGCAACTTATACCTCTTTATAAGAATTTTTTTATTAAAGATGCACCGATTCATTATTTTCTGATCCAATCCGATACCGATACCGATACCTGGGCTGAGTGTATTGGCCGAGTTAAATGAATGAACTGTATACCTTGCCCTGTGAGTGAAGGCATCAGGCTTGACACAGCCTTGTTAAAAAAAGGTAACAAATTAACACAGATATAAATTTACTTAATATTATTTCTCACAAATAACAAATTGTACATTAGCGCACAGCAAAAAGAAATAAGGCTTCCATGTATTAAAAGGAAAATTAATTGAAAGAAAAAAGACTGGATCGGAAGGCTGGATCGGCGTCATTTATCAGATATCCGATCCAGTTAATTTGTCAATATCGGATCGGTGCATCCCTACTATTCATGCACAATCCCCGAGAACGCTCTCTGGGTATAACACCAGGCCTGTGTTAGCACCACAAGAAGCCTCCTTCTGCCGAGGATTCCACTTTCTGTCAAACTTGACTTTCCCTCCAACTGCTGCCATGCTGGATTCAACTCTCCCAAAATAAAGTGCTCGCCACACCCAAAGAATCTGAATGACAGACATCATTTCCAGTCGCGTCTGCACGTGTCTGCAGCAATAGATGATGGGCAGCCTGAATGAACCTATCAGTACGGAAGTGACAGTCTCTGTGTGCAGGAGTGTTAGGTTGTAGAGGGAACCAACAGATGGATTAGAGTGGAGTTGTCAGGACTCAATTATTTGGCTAAATTTAAGTCCTTAAAAGGCAATTGTTCGTCTCCTTCTCCAGAAGAAGCATTCATAAAAGAATACAGACCCGCAGATTTTTATTATTCTAAATCCTCTTAAAGGATCAAAAGATGCCAATTTTGGCAAAAAATGTGAATGTATTCTCTCATATCTGCGTGCACACAGCTTGTCTCTATATACATCGCGCTCCTACAGTGCTCCGTTGGAGCGCGCAGAGCCGAGCTGAGCCGAGCAGGATGAGGAAGGTGATGCGATGAGGAAGAGAATCTTAATGTGTTATCTCATCCCTTGTTTCTGAGGAAGAGGCAGGGCGGGGAGGGGAGAGGAGAAGAGGGTTGGAGGGGAGGGGAGCTAGGGGGGTAAAGGCGGAACAAACCGGTGTGCTCAGATACATGCTGTAGCTGCTCGCCCGCACTGCAGATTAACCCTTACCGCTCCGGGAGAAGCCACCAGACACGGTGAGTGGATTTTTTATGCTTTCCCCTTTGCATGCACATGCCTCAGAGAAGCGTGGCTGTACCGGTGTCAGACCCTCCGGTGTGGACAGGTAGGCGGCTGTTGCAGGTACAGAGCATCACAGACACGGTTCAGCACACCAACTCACTCACACACACACAAACACACACTTGAAACGCTGCTCTTGGTGTTGAGCAGCTGGCTATTCGGGAGCTGTCCGCCGCTCAGGTGCTGAAACGTCTCGTCATCCACAGGCAGCTGCAGCTCTCTGCAATGCCGGGAAAGTGGTCCTCCTGGCGGACGTTCTCCTGGAGTCCTGCACCATCAGATCTGTCAGCAGCACAGACGAGAATCTGAGCTCAACAAGAGTCAAATAGGACCAAAATCATCCTCTGAAATGTCCCTGCCGTGTTTCCATAGGGACGAGCTAATGGTTAAAAGTGATAACAGGATACTTTTTGTTTCATCCTCTTACAATAGTCTAAAAATGTGTTCTGTCTGCAGCAGTTCTCAAGTCTGATCGGTTCTCTATCTGAAAATAAGAGTCAGCTCTGAAAGTTTCTCCCGCTTCAGTCTTCGTTTTTACTTGTAGTTGCTGAGCAGGGATTATTTCCCTCAGAGGGGGTTCAGGAGCTCCCTCTTTGTACCCGACTGCTCTGCTTGGATCCGGAGGGATGCTGTGGCAGCCAAAGACTGTGGGATTCCCTCTCTGAATGCCGGACTGAAAGGCATTATCTGTTGGACTGGATCCGTGCCAGCAGCTCACAGACAGCAGTGCAGCCACACACTGAGCATCAAAACACAACACTGCTCCTTTAAATTTTAAATTATGCAAAGTTTATTTCCCTTCTTCCTCAAAACAGCTTGTAAGGATGAGAAGAAAGTTACTCTGGTGTCACCAGGTAGTTTGATGTGTTCTGTATGTTACGGTGACACCTCAGATACCTGCATGATTTCACTCGCAAATCTAATCTTTATAAGGGTTATTTTGATTACATTTCAAAGGGATCCTCCTCTATGATCTTCCTCAAAAAGAGTGCAGCAGTCTCCCTGCGTGCTCGTGAAACTACAGCATCAAGGTTTCCTCTATGGAAATGTGGAGTATTCTTTGAAACTCTGGAGTACGGCGCTTTGATTTCAGGATTTCCCTGATTAACTGTGTCTGTCAGTGAGAGAAAAAGTGGAAGAAAGGCACAAAGAGAGATGGAGACGGAGGATCATTAATGATACATGGTGATGCATTCTCACCCCCCCTTAGAGGACATTCACATAACCTTCATGTGAAATGAGCATGCAGAGGCTGTGATCCCACTTTTCATACGTCTTTATCTGTTTGCAAACATGCACTGACATGCACACGCTCAGACCGACCTCATATAACAGCCCTTTGACCGGAGTGTGTGCTCACTGAACTCCTCTTTGCGAACACACTGTTCCTCAGACCACCAGGAGTCCAGACTGGGCAGGGAGAGAGTTTGGAAACAGCCAAGTCAAAATAAGTGATTCACACATTCAGGTGAGGGGAACATTTGTCAAAATCCAAACCTGAGTTCTGCTTTTCATCTGTTTTTGGTTAGCACACTCTCTGGAGAATAAATGTGCCCTTTAGTGTCCTTGTTCGATCAAAAGAAAAAGCCCTGCTCAGATCTAAACCCTCTCGCACACTCCACTGGTCAGAGAGGAGGATTAGTCCTCAGCCAGCTGACTGCATCACAGAGACGACAGACAGGGACAGACTGCTTTCCTGAAGAGGGTGTGAGATAGGAGTGGGACAGTACACAAAAACCATTGCCCATTATCTGAAGTGCAGCGTCCACACTTCAGATTGTAGGTCTGCTCATATTTCTATTTGATGCTCTAAAACATAAATTGCATAAAAAATACTTTTTTCCCAATGAACACAACTTTTCTTTTAAGGAGCTGAGACAAACACTGACACCCTTGAGTTCACTGAGCTTGTAATGAGCACAAAGCTCCATCTATCAGTCCTAATAGGTACAGAAGATATTTAGGAGAAGTCATGTACAGCTGCAGCTTTTGCTTGTTTATAAATGCATGGTATGACTGAACTGCTGAAAAAGTAAAGGAATTTTATGTGGCAGTTAAATCATTTTTCATGCATTCCACTCTCATGGTCTCAGTAATTGAGCATGTTTATAGATTCACTGTCCTAAAAATGCAAACAAATGCTGCCATTTGTTTTCTATGGGGGCCAATAGGGGCAGGTTATCTGCAATGACCTGATCTTCATGAGACCAAACATGCTGCAAAAACTCCAATGATGCAAATCCAAAACCAATGCAAAAGCTGAAATGCCATGCAAATGAGAAAAAAGACTGAAATGACTGCATTAACAGTAAATGTGCTTCAGATACACAAAAGAGGCAAAAAGCACACAAAACCAGAAGACGACTGCAGAGGATAAACGCTGCAAATCAGATTTTTTAACAGACGTGCTCCAGATTTGTGGGAGTGTCAAGTGAATTAGCTTTTTTAGACAGAAAAGAAGACCAGATACAGAATTTATCTGTTATTAGACCATGAAATGACAAACACAGTCAGTCAAGAGTGTGTCTGTGTGTCCTTGTGTCAGAGTGTCCAAGTCTTTTTTAAGTGCATATTTGGCTGCTAGCCTTTACTATTTGGCACGGTGCTAGTGTTGCTGCTTCTACCAACCAATCAAAAACTAGATTAGATGGGACAGTTTGACCTGATAACCAGGGAAAATCGCAGAATCAATACAGCAGTATTTGAGATTATTCTATTAGCCTGGTTTAAAAAGAAATGTATTGATCAATTATGTATCCATAATTTACTGAAAGATTTTTCAGCACTTAACTCTGCAATTACAAAGCCCTTTGTGATTTTGCACTATTTTGCAGACCAGACATACGTACCAGCTCTTGCACATGTATCAATCTTTAAAATGTGCTGTTGTAATAACATGGGTGCTTAAGTCAGTGTCTCTCAAGAGTAATGCACATCTGCAGAAAACTATAGCCTAGCTTTCGCACCAGTTTTTCAGGCAGTTTCGCATTAAAGGGGCAGAACTGTCAGTGATCCATTATGGGGCACTCACACTAAGCACGAGTAAAATCATCTACTTGCTTAATTGGTGTGAATCTAGACTTGTGAATGAATAGTATTTACTCGCTTCATTCGTGCGGCAAAGCTGTTATGCTTATTTCAGTGGTAACCCCTGCCAATCCAACCGGCAGAATCAAGCGATAGACAAAGGTTTTTTTTTTTTTTCACAATTTACCAGGTAATCCGATCTCCTCACTCACTTGCCTCCAGGCGAGCTCCTTTTTTTTCCAGTTTCGGTAATTGAAAGGAAAGGTATCATATAAATCGGGGCACCCACACCCCAACACAATCAGTTTGTCCCCCCTTTTAGATACCAGCGGACAGCCGTCCGTTTTGATACGTCACCTTGAAACTTAGTGCTGATAAATTATCGCGACACGAATATCCGTTCAAGTTGATACATTTTTAGCTCCTGCCCAATTCTCGTCATTCGCGCCGTCAGAGTAGTACGAGCATCTAATTGCGTCTTTGCACTGACTTAACATGTAATTCATTCGCGTGAATGATTTTTCAGGCAACAAGAAATGGGTTGACAGTTTAAAGCAGTTCTGCAGGTTGATCAAACCTTGAAAGTTGGTGCTACAAATTCCTACAGATGTCCCAACTTTTCTTGATCAATTACAACCCCCTCTGTCTGCATACAATTAGTGTTGGAACACCCTTTGGTACCATACCATTGTGAGCATTGTTTGAACAGTATTTTACTGCAGAAAGTAGGGTGTTACCATAAAAATGGTGGGGAAAAGGCAATTAACGCTTCTCCTACAGAGAAATTGCCAAGAAAGTCAAGGTGTCAGTGAGTACAGTTTCCTTCACCATCAAAAGGCACTTAGAAGCTGGGGGAAATGCTGACAGGCAGAGATCTGGCAGACCCAAAGCCGCAACAGCGTCAGAAGACAAGTTTCTGAGAGTCAACAGCTTGCATGATAGGTGGCTCACAGGACAACAGCTTCAAGCACAGCTTAATAGTGGTTGCAGTAAGCAAGTCTCAGTTTCAACTGTGAAGAGAAGACTTCGAGATGTAGGTTTGATGGGTCCAGTTGCAGCATGAAAGCCATTGCTGAGACTTCAGAATAAGAAAAAGAGGCTTGCCTGGGCCATGAAACACCACCAATGGACTACTGAAGACTGGAAGAAGGTGTTATGGACTGACGAGTCAAAATTTGAAATGTTCAGTTTATCATGCAGGATTTTTGTACGCCGAGTCGAGTAGGCGAAAAGATGTTTGACTTTTGACTAGTCGTGTATCCATAAAGATGGTACAGCCTTAAATGGTTTTCTTTCTTTCTTTCTTTCTTTCTTTCTTTCTTTCAGGAAAAGATGTTTCGCAGCTTCTCCTGACTGAAGACTTTCCAGCCACTCATCAGTCTCCCTTAGGATCACATCCTCAGCTGAGCTCATTCCTTAACCTGCCTCGCAGTGTGGACTATGGGGCACAACACAGAGGACAGCAAGCCAGAACTGTGTGTCTGAACATTATGTCCATGTCTTTGCTCGAGGACAGCTGTGGTAAACTGTAGGGACCTTGAAGGGACCTTAGCTCTGAAGGAGACAGACCACCCAGTATGACCCTCCTCTTATCCTCACACGGTGACAGGGGCTGAAGCTGGCCAAGCATTACTGTGTGTGTGTGTTTGAGCATAGCAGCAGGGAGTATCTGCTCCATCCCCGGTCCAGAGGGAGGTTTTAGCGGTCGATCTTCGTGTTCCGGATGCAGAACATCCTCGATCAGAACTTAGACATGGCCACAGCTTTGCTCGCCGGCGAGAAGCTGAAGGAGCTGATCCTGCCCGGCTCCTCCCAGGATGAGAAGGGCGGTGCGTTGGCGGGGCTCATGGTGCAGCTCAAACTGGAGTTGCCCTTCGATCGAGTCGTCACCATTGGCACAGTCATCATCCCCATCCTGCTGGTCACGCTCGTCTTTACCAGGAACTTTGCAGGTCAGACTTCTGCCACTAGAGGGCAATCACAGCTTCAGTAAAAACTCACGTTAATCAGCAGCTGGTTCATTGCACTCCTCTTTTAACAGATGCAGTCTGTGCAAGACGGTATTATTAGAGTGTAAAGTAAACAAACAGTGCACTTTGTTTTCTTTTAAAGCATCAAAAATCTGATAAAAGTCTGACCAGAAGAATGTGAAACAGGTCCAGCAAGTCGATCTAGCTGAGTCAGTCAACTCTATTCAGAGCCAGCCATGCACAGCTTTTGAGTCTCTTGTGACGGGCAGTGATAAGAAGAGGTGTAAGTAGATTATGCAGGGCAGGAAAAGGAGCATTGACAAAACAGAGAGTGTTAAAAGAAGACAGAGAGGCCAAAGAGCGAGTAAAAACTTGAAGAGATGGATTTTATGAGGAGAGAGAGTGAGGAAGGGGTTTGGATGGAGCGCATGCTGGGAGCGATGGATGGGAAAGATGTTTGTTGACTGCTGAGTCACTTTCTGCAAAGCAGCAGGAACCATCTGGGACTGAGTGTCCAACTTTAGCAGCTGAATGATGTAGAAGTTAACACCAGTGCTTGGGTATTCCCTCTTTGCTGAGTTTTAACCGTCCAACAGTTTATGAAGAGTAAGATCATCCTGAAAACATCCTCCCCTCTGAGACTGTCACACAGTAAAATCATACCGTTCTCACTCCCTGTAACAACTGAAATACACAGAATGACACGATGACAACTGTGACATCAACTCAATCTACGATTATCAACCAGTCTTTATTCATAAAGCCCCAAATGTTATGTCAAGACCCAAGACTGTTAAATTCTCTCCACACATTGCTCTTCCAGCATCTCTAACTGGACTGTAAACAAATGCCCTGGATAGAGAAGGTTCTGGCCCAGGGGCTGCTATTACAAATCACAGACTTTAATTGGCCATTGCTCACTGATGATGCTCCTCCATCAGACAGTGAACACTGGATTCAGTGATTGGCAAAAACATGGTGCCAAAAGAAAGCACTTGTGGCAGAGTACTTTGCTGAGTGTGACTAACATTAGCAGGGCTAGTACCACCAGCCTTTGGTCCTCATTACAGCCTAATACCCTAATTCCTGAGCTGGTTCCAAATGGCTCTGGCTGAGTGTGCCAGTTTCACTAGACAACATAAAACTTCATTTCTATTTCACTTTATGTCACATTTTTATTGAAAGTTGATGTAGAGAAGATCAGACTAAGAGTCTTCAGAGACTTATCAAGACAGGTTGACAAAGTTAACCTGGTTCTACAGGTCTACAGAGGATCTTTAGCACTGGGTTGACCATAAACCCTTGGCTGACCCTAAACCCCCCAAATTTGTCCACCTGGTGAACACAGTAGAGTTTTTCACTTTCCAGATCTGAGACAGACTCAAACTGAATGACTGAAAGATTCAGGACAACTAGATAGACACCCAGATCTGAGTGATGTAAGGTACTTCCTTTAAACCCCTGAAATGTCCTTGAAGGTTTCAGCCAATGAGGTTTTTAGGACATATTCTTAAGACCCTTTTCCACTTCCAGGTATGTGGTTTACCAAAGTGTTGGGGGTTTGTCTTGTCTGACTTTTCAAATGCTTGGCACAGTTTTTGTACCTCAACATCTTACCAAAGAAATGGAAAAATGATAAATGTATAAAAGCTGACAGCCTAGCTGACATTATGCTCACTGGTGCACAAGAGCATAAGAGCCTGATCCAGTGACATTCAGTTTTGGGACTGTGTTGGACCAACAATCAATCATCTCATGGACTGTGTTACTGTGAAAGACAATCAAGGTCACATGTCCTGACTGAAAGCTGAACATGTTTGATTTTTCTGTCTGCCTCCTATAATGCATTTAGTGTCACTACCCAATCAAAACACAGACCTCTGTGCATCTGCAAAAGTCCACTTGTAGGATGATTAGGGTAAAATTGATTCTGTTTGGGTTGATTTTTCTGTCTGTTCTTTCCTCAGAGGAGTCCATATACTGTTACACACCACACAACTTCACCAGAGACCAGGCGCTGTATGCGCGAGGCTATTGCTGGACGGAGCTGCGGGACTCTGTACCTGGGGTGGAGTCTCACCTTTGGCCTTCACTGTTTGAGCACAAGTTCCTGCCCTACGCCCTGTTGGCCTTCGCTGGAATCATGTACATTCCCGCTCTGGGCTGGGAATTCCTGGCCTCCACTCGGCTCACTTCAGAGCTCAATTTCTTGCTTCAAGAGATTGATAACTGCTATCATCGAGCTGCTGAGGGCCGAGCTCCAAAGATCGAGAAGCAGATCCAATCCAAAGGACCTGGCATAACTGAGCGAGAGAGGAGGGAGATCATCGAGAACGCAGAGAAGGAGAAGAGCCCCGAGCAGAACCTCTTTGAGAAATATTTAGAGAGACGGGGCCAGAGCAACTTTTTGGCTAAGCTTTACCTCGCACGCCACCTCGCTATTATCTGCCTCAGCTCCATCCCCATTTCTTACCTGAGCGCCTACTACGCCCGTCAGAGGCAAAACGAGTTCACCTGTGCGCTGGGTGAGCCCCCTGACATCAGCAGCTATACAGAATTAAAGCTGAAGGTGAACTGCAAGCTGCCCGCCGTGCAGCTGCAGCGTATCATGGCAGCTGTAGATATCGCTCTGCTCTGCACCATGAACCTCATCATCCTGCTCAACTTGTTGCACCTGTTTGTTGTGCGTAAGTCCAACTTTGTTTTCGACAAACTGCACAAAGTGGGTATAAAAACACGCCGGCGCTGGCAAAAGTCCCAGTTCTGTGACATCAACATCCTGGCCATGTTCTGCAACGAGAACAGAGACCACATCAAGTCGCTCAACCGGCTGGACTTCATCACCAACGAGAGCGACCTCATGTATGACAATGTGGTCCGGCAGCTGCTGGCAGCGCTGGCACAGTCCAATCATGATGCCACACCAACTGTCAGGGATTCTGGGATACAGACACTTGATCCAAACATGGACCCTAGTGATCTGGGAGTCGGAGAGATTGCCGGGGAGCCGCTGGTCATCAAACGGCCACGCAAGAAGATGAAATGGATCCCTTCGTCAAATCCTCTCCCACAGCCATTCAAGGTACAACAGCTGACGGAGGTCTGCAGTCGCAACTCATAAAAACTTATGAAATTACTGAAATGGTAGTACATCTGTGTATATTTATAGGTTCTTATTACTGAATACCTACACGATTCCAAAACACATAAAAAATCTCAGGTTACACTCCAGCGAATAAGCAGTCCCCACAAACCCCGCCTATAATAGCTAACAAGTACCATAAAAGGAGGTGTGGAAATGTGCTTCCTGTGGGCCGGAGGGCTGCGTGGGTTTCATTTTAGGCCAGCGTCTATGATTTGTGGTGGGTCAGTGGAATCATAAAACACCTAAGAGGGTGACCCCTGTATCCTATGGATAAACCATCAGGCTTCTGCATAAAACACATGAAAGGAGGCCTCAAGAAAACAAACGCAAATTAGAGGGTAAGAATTTCAATCAGCCCACACAGATTGAAAATGTGTGCACCATTCATTTCCTTGGGGCTCTGTACACATGCTGTAATGTAAACAGGATACGCTCTTACAAATAATCCAGTCATCTCTCATTGCTTCATTCTCCAACGAGTCCCACTGGTGCTGTTGTGCAGAATGAGGCTGTCGTGCATCTTACCCGGCCACCAAGCAACAATGTTAAGCGACAAACATTCAGCATCATGAAAATTTAAAGAGACCCACTGACTATGCGTGCAGAGTAATATGGTCCGGGTTCGTTCTCAGTTTCTTTCACTGCTGCAGAATTTCCTGGACTGAAGGTTTTGCTATGACTCAGTGACCCTACGTTGTGTTTCTGTCATTCCCCAAAGGAACCTCTCACTCTGACTCGTCTGGAAAATAACACCAAACCTGAAAAACCCAAACCACTCAGACGGAAGACAGTGGCTGACAACTTCATCGCACCACTTCTGGACACCAAAAGCACACAATATCCTGCAACTAAAGGTAAGGCAGGAGACTAGGACTTGGAGAGTTTTCATTGAAAGAGCTCTAACTGCACAAGTATAGAGGAAAACCTCTAAATCATCTTTGAAAACACACTTGTACTGATGTTCTTTTACAGGCAGGATCTGGTGAATTAATTGTTTTCATTGTTTTATGGGGATTTTATTGTCCCCTTTAATCCTGGATTATTTTGGTGCTCATTTAAGTCCGGTATAGCTTATTTAATGTAAACAGATACATTCCTGCAAGCATGCGAAAACAATCCACTTTACGATGAAATTTCTGCACAAGGGTTGCTCTTCTAATAATCCAGAAAATCCATCTCTGAGGACATCCAGCATAGGACAACATTATGGCACTGGCCAGTAACTAAAGTCAAGTGTTCAACTAGTAGCCAATGGCTGAGCTCCATGAACAGTAATAGATAGAGATGCTCCTGTACTGCTCACCACTGGTTTAAGATGGCCATCGTTCCCCATCAGACTGCAGACAGTGCATTCAGAGATTTGAAAAAACACAACATCCTTTTCTTCAAGATGTCTGAATAAGAGACTCTTTGCTACACACTCACTGTAAACCTTCTTCAATGTTCTTTTTAACCCTACACCTCATTTCTGTTTGTAGATATCAGCGCGATGGAGAAAAAACACACTCGTAATTTCTCTCTGGATGTCCACCCGTACATGCTGACTATCCGTAAGCCGAAGGTGGAGACCACAACCGCAGAACCTCTACCACCAGAGCACAACTTGGACGCAGTGTACCTGGAAGGCACTCACACTATTGTTCATGTGTCTGGTGCAATCACAGGTAACTTTGGGTGAAATATTCAAAGACTCCTGCGGTACTGGCCAAGAGATGAATGCAATCTGATGTAGATATGTATGGGCATATATTGCATGTGGCAACCACCTAACTTAAATGACCCCACTTTAAAAAGCTAGAGACTCAAACTTTCTCCTCTTCTTTTCTGCTTCATCTGTACTTCCTTCTTGTCTCCTCAGAAACGAAGGTCTGTTCTCCAGAAGCGACCAACACTGCCTTTTCTACAATGACCCTGCCCACAACTTCGTATGTAAATGGCGTGAGCCCAAACCCTCCCTCCAGTGAAGACGCCCTCAGTCCAAAGTCCTCTCCTCCTCATGCGGAACCTCTCCTCCAGACGGGCAACCCAGAGTCTCAGCCTCCACCCCTGACCAGAGCCCCCACTCACCAGCTGCTGGGAATACACCACACCTTGTTCGAGGAAGAGGAGGATGAAGAAAACAGACGAGACCGGCTGGCAGAGAGGCCGGGGGAGCTTATCGCTGCAGGGGAGTGCTGAAGACGGAGAAGGAAGAGATTTCTTTCCCACCAACACTGGGCACGCCATGTCAGTCACCTTCTACCAAAACCTCTGCTCTTAAACTAACCTCTGTGACGGTGGACTGATGAGTGGAGAGGAGATTAAGTCATGGTAAAAACAAGTTTCAGATGTGAAAACTATTGGAAGAGGATAAGACGACAAAGTTTGTGTTTGAAAATGTTGACCAGAGTATTTTTAAAGGAAGCGATGTCACGTTTATGTCTCAGGATGACGACAACACCCTCCGATGAAACCAGCAGTGATATATTTCAACAGGGTGCTACAGGTACTTTTCAAAGGTCTAATGACAGAAAGAGCAGCGCTGAAAGCTGAGAGCTTTTTTCAAAAAAAAAAAAATGAAACACCTTATCGATGCATATCTGCAAAAAGAAAACTGCATTTCTCCTTCTAACTTAATGTATTTTAGGCACATATTATCTATAATGCTTAGTCCCTTTATTATCCCACTTAGCTGAGTAGAAAGGTAGCTCACGCAATACAGCTGTTGAGATCTGCACAATTTATATGCAAAAGATCACAATATGTTTGTGGCAATAATGTATGCGCTTACTGCATCATCTTTCACAAGAGGCGAAACATACTTAGGCACTGTAAAAGAGTCAGTGTTTGTTGGGTGTTTAAATATTACACATTTCACGGCTTTATCACCATCAGATTAGGAATCTGCGTCAGAACTGACTCTGCTATACTTGCACGTCATTAAGAGTAGAAAAATTTGAGAATTTTAGAAACAAATGGCAAAGAAAAAAAACTAATAAAAAAGACGAGATAAAAATTAGACAGAGAAACTGCCAGAGTAGTCAAACAAGTACCAGATCATTTAAGAAGCAGAGAGAGTTTTTTCTTTAAAACTCAAACAGCAGCTCCATAATGACGAACGGAGCTGCTCTCACTGAGAAAAGTGTGTGACGTTAGTATTTTGTTGGCTTTTAGCTGTGACGTGAAGTGAATGGAGTGATGAGTAGTCGTGAAATCTTTCCCAAATGAAAGGTTTATTAAAGAAAAAGAACAACCTTTTAAATTGTCATTTAAAGTTTCCAACTCAATAGAAACTCTTCCATTAGCTCTGTTCTGTCTCATTACGTGTTTCCATCTGTTTTAAAGAAATCTACAGAGGCCCTGAGTGGACATGCACCCAAACAGTGAGTACCAACTAGGGATGTAACGATATGAAAATTTAACATCACAATTATTGAGACCAAAATTATCACGGTTATCAATATTATCAGGGTATTGTTGAAATGTGTTTAAAATGTTTAAAAAGTACTTATACACGCCCTGAAATCATTTAACAAAGTGTTGTTTTGAAAAAACAATCAAAATAACACACAGAATGAACTTTTCCTTAACCTTAAATAACAGAGGAACGATAAGCTTAAAAAATTAAAGATGGGGCCTTAAAAGAGCCAGAGGTAATCAACACTAGTACTAGTAATAACAAAGTACAAAGTAATGTGCCAGTGGCATAAACATGAACATAATAACAAATAAATAAATACAATTTAAATAAAATGACATTCCTTATTGTGCAAATTGTAAGAATCTTCAGTGCTCAAAATGATCTACTCTTACAAATATAAAACAGAGCAACACTACTATATGAAACAATACAACCACATATAAACAAAGGTGTAGTGCAGGCGTTTAAAATAACATAAAATATGTAAACAAATCAAATAAAACACACCGATTATCTGTTTTCTCCACCATAAGGTGCTGCTGCTGACTTTTTTCACTACTTGAAATTGAAATGTAAAATGTCAGCATATTTACCTTCCTGGTTCGAGTCGTGATCTGCGAGGGGAAACGATGTGCACTGAATAGCGTCTCAGATGGCACGCTGATTGCTGGGATGCACGAAAGCTTCTTGGCAACCCTCGCAACCCTTTGTAGAAGCCGAAATGCGCCCAGACTTCGGACTTTGTTTTCTCTGACAGGGGAAAATTCTCTGCAACACGGTTGGCAGTACTGCCCACAAAACTGCCCTTCGCCAAGTTGTGTACTGCGCAATGTACATGCGCACGGCGCGCCTGTGTCCGAAGGACTCCTGTGTGCGGCTGCTCTTCCCAGCGCTGAGTAGTCTGTGCGCTTTTCCAGAGTGCGGCAATCAAACACAGTTTTAACGGTAATTAAAATTTGAAACGGCAGTACTAACCCTACTTTACCGCGGTTTATCATTTTACCGGTAATCGTTACATCCCTAGTACCAACCCAGACTAGTGAAAAATGAGAAGGCCAAAATGTCCAAAACCAAAATTTAGTTTCTGTTTGACTGCAAATGATACTGCATACTGAGCCCTGTAAACCCCAGACCTGACTGACTCTGCCCACTATGACTCTTCATTGGTGTAGTTTAATGATATACAGTGTTTTATTTTAAACAACAAAGATCAATAGCTTTGTAAAAAGTAACACCTCAAGTTTTTTCTAATTCTCTGTTAGTGGAAAAGCAGCCACACAAAGCATTTCAGGCTGAAGTTGAATAAAGTTGAATAAAGGTTTTCACTGATGCCTGTATAAGATAAATTAAGAGATTTTTGAGAAGCGTTTTATGCAAAGCTAACGGGTGATCCAGTTTGACATAATGAAAGGCCACTCAACTGGTGCTGATTTTTGCACCAGCAGGACCTATTTTCTTTTCAAACTAAACACACATCAGAGTTTTCAACACAAAATCATATGAATCATTTCTGTTCTTGCAAAAATCATATGGTATTTTATGCATTTGTTTTTGCTTCCAGAAACCCTCTTTTTTTCACGAGCATCATGTTTGTGTTCTCTTTGTTGGCCACTGTAAAAACGCCCTCAGCATCAGCCATTATTGTGGCTGGACTCTCACCTGAAGATAGCTCAAATTGTGTAACATTGCAGCGCTTCTCTGTGTCAATTCTTGACCACCCACCGATTGGAATCAAGAAAGGGTGGGACTTCTGACAACACCTTCACAGAAAATATGGAGGTCCACACAGGAGAAAAAAAATCAAACTATTTAAGCACTATTTCTAGGTCCCGAGCGGCTAAAACAAAAAAGTAGGGCTGCATGTCTACTCAGGGCCTCCATAGAGCAATGGCAATCAGTTCATGGTTAATATAAGCATAAATGTCTATCAACACTTTTCACAGAATGACTCAAGGGATGTCTGCCAAACATAACCTCATCTTTTCACTCTTGGTTACAGGAATAAAGGAACTGTGCACACGGACTCAAACACCAATATGACATCTACTGTAGAAAACCACCTCTTCTGGGGCATTCAGCAAATACACACACACAGTATAAGATTTGTGTAGGGAAGCTTTAATCTAATGGCTTCCAGTCATCATCCTCTGGTGAAATTTAATGATCCATCTCATTATTATGGCACAGGGTTGGTCAGAGGTCTCGTGTTAGATCACTCAAGCACACTAAATGCATCCAAAAGCACTTTAAGACTTTGTAGCGCGAGTGTGTGAGAGCATGTTACATGCTTCAGCACAGCTCTGCTGATAAAGAGAAACGTTTGTTTTTTTCCACATTCAGATAGTTGCAGAAGCTTCATGTTGGTATAAAAGTGGAAAAAGGGTCAGGAGGACTTTGGTTGTACTGTGTCAAATGTCAAAAATGAATACATAATTAAAACACTTACTTTCTGAAGAAATGCTTCTCCCGCAAATCAATGACTTCATGTACCAGAATGCACTGCGGCGGTGAGTTTCATCAGAGCACTTGCTGCATTCACGTATTCCTTCATGCTCGGAATTTCCAGACGCTGAGTTCATTTTGTTTTGGGTGTTTTTGCAATCTGTGGACAAAATATTAAAGCAATGTGGAGACATTAAAGACCATTAATCAGTACATACTGTATATAAAAATTTAAAACTCTTTATCTAATTTTTATTCTCAAATGAGACCAAATCAATGACGTACATAAATTAAAGTTAACTTTTAAGTTTGTTGTATGTCATATTTCTGCTTTTATGGATGTAAGATATACCCCCAAATTATACAAAAGCACATTTTTCCAAACCAGTAGTCTAAATATAACCTATGTGAAATAATTTAGACCCTGCACATATTTGAACTCAAGTTATTGAATATTTTGCGGCATCTTTTGTCAGTATTGGACTTAAGTGATGGTCCTTGCACACTCAGGTCATGGTTGGTTATACAGAGAAAGAATCTTAATAGTTGTAATGAGTAAAAATGGTTTGAATAGCAGCAGGCACCATATTCTTGATGAGTTTCCTGAAACTATAGGAACATATCGAGGGCATTTTGGCTTGAAGTGTCTTCATATATGGTTTATTTCTGTGCCTGACAGGTCAGTGTAGCTTAAATCAACATCAGGAAGATGGGTTGGCTAGAATGAGACAAATTCACTCTAAAGATCTGGATTTTTTGCAGTGTAACAAATGCCCTGTTTTGCTCTGTATAATCAAAATAAACCAAAGTAGCTGCAATCTTTGCATGTATGGCCCTTACAGCATTAATACAGACTATTTTATAATAATATGAATTGAGAAATGTAGTCTATTTTCCAGCAGATGGCGCCATTTAGTAATTTAAGTCCCCTCACAAAAGCAAACAGTTCTGCTGATCACCACTTGAGACAGTGCTCAGGCTGCACAAAGCCAATATGCCTCTGCAATACTACCCAATTAATTTGAATATATAGATTAGAAAATAGAACATTTGATGTGACTGATTGAAAGTTGGTGCAGTGAGAAAAAAAATGATGATGATGATGTTGATAATAATGAGCACATAAATCAATAAATGAAATTAATTTGCTCAGTCCACCGGGACATACAGGTGATAAAAACGTTAAATGTACAAGTAGGCCTCTAAGAGCCACTAAACTACAATAATGTAAGTAATTGTAACAACATATTTCCCACCCCTTGAACTTTTGTATATTGGTGTTATATAATTATATAATATATATAGTGTTGCCCACTTACCATGAACAAAAATCAATATATTGACATTTTATTGGATGTTTATTTACTGAGCAATGGATGATTCTTTTTATTTTCCTTGGATATAAAGATTTTCCGTTGTTGCTCCGACTTGAGAAAGCATTCAAGTAAACTTTCTAGTTGGGAGGTCTTTTTTCCGATTATTTCGATAACACGTGAACGCACCGAGTGAAACGGCTGCACTGACGAGGAGCGAACTGACACACGGGCTGCCTAACTCAGTAAGTCTGTCATATTTGTTTGGAGACAACTCTCCGAAATACCAACCAGTACTTTGTACTTGTTAAGTGACACAAATGTCGTTCGAGTATCCCATTTCGACGGTTTAGGTTTGACGAAACTGTTCTTGAGGCTTGCTAGCATGTGTTAGCTCGAGTTAGCTGTTTTCATCACCCTGTAGCTAGCCTAACCGAGGAGCCCTCAGCTGTTCACTGTTCAGCACTTCCCTACCTGGAAGTAACGTCAGCTTGTTTGTACACCTGTGCCCCCTCTTTTTTACACGCCAAAACCTCTCGTGTAATCAACCTTTAATCGGATTTATTGCTTCGTTTGAGATATCGTTACCTATTTGATTTCCACTCACAGACCACTTTATGATCACCACTTTTCTAGTTGACATTTTGACACTTGGACAGTTAGCTTCAATCTCTGCCGTCGGACTAAAGCAACGTCAGCAACGTCAACGTCGGTGTTGGCTGTCAGTGAACGCCCCATAGTATCAATGCTCTAAATACGTGTCAGTGAACGCCTCACAGTAAAAATGCTGTAAATAAGTGTCAGTAAACGCCTCACAGTGCTGTGCTAATTCATTTCTTTATTCTTTCTTCCTTCAAACGCAGCTTTCCGAGACTCGGGCATGGACCAAGACAACAATTCAGAGGTTTGTACACGACTAACATTCTGTTAAGAGTGGGGAAAAAGACGTGTTTCTTTTATTGGTGCTTTAATAACACGTGATTCAACGTCTTCGCCTTTAAGTAAGACTCCTGAGAAATGTTAATTAACATATGTATAGAGTAATTATGTTCTGTATGGCGGCCAATACGTATGTATGAATGTGTGTGTGTTTGTGTGTGTGTGTGTGTGTGTGTGTGTGTGTGTGTGTGTGTGTGTGTGTGTGTGTGTAATTTGACTTAACTTTACAAAGTAATGACTTCTTGTGTAACTTTGTTTTTCTTAATCATTATTTTGTCCTCATTCTGTTATTTTAACTTAGATTTTAACTTTTCTTTTTTACTGGAAACAATAACATTAATTTTTATACCATATTATAAATAGCGATCCCATAATATTGATTTTTTTTTTCACAATAATGACTTACAGTCTTATATATTTTTTACTTTCTGCCTCGTCTCTGGTATCTCATCCTTTTAGTGTGTTTTAAGGAGTATTTAATTCCGAAATATTAGACTGATTTTCATCCAAACAAACTTTTATTAAAGTATTTGAGTGGGTGTTTTTGTTTGTTTGTATGTTTTTTTGGTGTGTGTGAGTTATTGTCGTTGTTATTGTTGCTGTTGTTTTTACATTTTTAAGCTGCAAGTTAAAATGAACAAAATTTAAAAAAAAAAAAATTGAAACACTTGAGTTGAGATGTAAAAGGTCTAAAGTGTAAGTTTCTGAAATAACTAAGGGTTAATGTTGAACTTTTTTTCATGGAGTTCTGATTTGCTGAAATGCACCTGTGTTGTTCGTCTGAGTCCATAAATACATTGACACTCCTGTCTTGATTGCCATATCATGTTGTGAAGGTACACACTGACTCATAACTTTTTCTACTTTAGGGTGAAGGAAGTTTGAAACATTACTAATTTGATTACTAAACACACTTTCCACACAGCAGTTACAATATGATGTGCAATCAGCTGGAATGTCTGCACTTATAGAGGAATAATCTCTTAATCTTATGCTAATATAAAGTCCCTCTATTGTGTCTGAATATCTTGACAGGATGAGTCAGTCGGCCCATCAGAGGATCCTTCAGAAGAGGACCTGCCTTGTATACCTCCAGGCCTCTGTAAGCTAAGTTTTGTTTATGCATAAAAGTGTCAAAGAGGGTAGCTTTTCTGTGTTATTGTCTGTGTTGTACAAAATTTTATGTCTGTAAAATGAGAAAATACATGTAATTTTTTTCTCAAATGGGTCAGCGTGGGTTTCAATAACAGGTTCCAACCTGGTGTCTGTGAGGGCGTGTAAATTTCAGTTCTCCTTTTTGACTCCTAACAGCAGTAGAAGTATTCAAGGATTAAACCTCAGGGAGAACTTTGCAGACCACATAAATTGCACGTACCTGTCAGGACCTGCTGTGTTGATGTAACGCCTTATCATTTGTGACGCAGTATGTTAACAGATGTGTGTGAGACAAAAAAAAAACAAACAACTCAGTATGACACATATGTAATGAAGATATTCTATGCAAGAAAGGAAGAAGGAAGCGAGGCCAATATGACGAGGCATTTACATGAACACTTCATGACTCTGAGGGAGTGCACTGTCACTGATGTGCTGCAGTCTCCTCTGCACTAAAACACTCCTGCTGCTGCAGCTGTAGCAACATCTCCTCACACTCAGACCTGGGGCGCTGACCTCGCAGTCTAAGCACACGTCCCCTGTACAGAGTTTGAGTGACTCTAGCCTGCAGCCCCTCTCCTGCATGTCACCTCCATCCTGATGCTTCAAAGCTACTCAGCATTTGATATCAGCAACAAATGACTGCTTTCTGAACTATTCTCACAGGGTTTTTACCCAGCTGAATTTTTAACTCTGTTTTGTTGTCTAGGACTAAACTGTTAGTAATCAGGCCTACTTTAAGCAGCTGCAGGGAGCTTTTGCAAATAAAGTCTGTGATAGAGGAAGAGCAACAAGTTTTCGTATTTTTAACGAGTAAGAGCATCTTATTTTGTGCTTGGGCTGGAGGACAAGTCGACTTAAATCTGAGAGGTAGCCTGAGAAACGGCTGCAACTGCGTAGAGGAAACTTTTTGTACGAGGTGTTGTGAGTTGCTTTTTCTGCAGCTCAAAAAAAGACATTTGTGCTTTAATGCTGAGTTGCTTCATTGGTCAAATGTGCGATACTCTGCAAAATAAAAATGAATTCTTTCCTCAGGTATTCAGTAGTTAACAATGTGGGGCATCTGACCTTGTGTTTCTGCTCCTCCATGTGTGTGTTTTGCTGCTCCCAGCGGATGGAGAAACGATGGAGCTCCTCTGGCAGCTTCGAGCGCAGCGTCGCCAAGCATCCCCCGACCTCCCTGAGACCGTGACCCGTCTCACTGCTGCTGATGGCAGCCTCCTCTACCTGGTGGGCACGGCTCACTTCAGCGACAGCAGCAAAAAAGATGTGGCCACGGTGAGCTGATGAGAACTCGTAATAATGAACTAATAATAATAACTTTATTTGTGTTGCACTTAAAAAAACAAGGGTTTACAAAGTGCTGTGACATGCGGAAAAACGAAGGAGTAAGATAAAAAACAACAAGAGAACACTCAGGGGAAGAGAACCTAAACAAGATCAAAACCCAGAGACCAAGGGAACGGAAGTTTTCGAAGGCAAATAAAAAAAGAAGGAATAAGAACTAGACACATTAAGAGAGGTAAAACTGTAAATGAAGAATAGATGTAAGAAGACAACACCACATGAAAGAAAGTCTATAAAAATGAGTTTTAAGAAGGGAGTTAAAAGGAGTGACTTTGTTAACCAGGGCTGGAGTGCCTCATTTGACCTCTTGTTGGTAAAAAGGAGCAGCAGAGTCCAAGAGAGATTTACAAGTCTGATTAAAAAGAGAGAGAGGAGCTCTTCTGGGTTAAGATCTGGGTTAAAGATGCAGATTAAAAAAGCTCCTTAAACTTGCCATCAGACGTACAATTAAAAACCTTTTAACCAAAATCTGTCTGGAATAAAACCATGTTAAATAAATCATTTTGTGTTCTGACACACAGATATCCTTCGTCATAAAATCATTAGGGCTAAGACCACAGTGTAAAGCTAAGTCAAGTGTGTGTTTTTTTTGCATGTGTGGGTTCCTGGATGTCCTGGGTCAGGTTAAAAGAGTCTGAAATTTCTAAAAAGTCAGCTGTCAGAGTTTGAGAGGATAACAGACAGGATCATGACAGGATTTGTGCAGCGAGCTGTGCTATACTCACCATTTTTAAACGGTGATATGTCATAGACTGTCAGAGCGTATCTCTATTGTAATTCGCTTGGCAGCGCTCTTTTCCCAGGCGTAATTTTGTCTTCTTCTCCACAATGACTCCCCTGTCTTATTTTACTTCCTCCCCTGCTGCTCAGTGCTTGATGCTCTCTTCTTCTGTCTCTTGTGTTTTCTGTCTTTCTTTGCCCCCCCCCCTCCCCTCACACAGACGATCCAAGCCGTGCAGCCAGACGTGGTGGTGGTGGAGCTGTGCCAGTACAGGGTATCCATGCTAAGGATGGATGAGAACACACTGCTGAAGGAGGCCAAAGACATCAACTTGGAGAAGGTCCAGCAGGCCATCAAACAGGTCAGGATTACAGAGGGATGAGAATGAACATTGGCGGAGAGAGAGAAGAGAAGATGGAGAAAGAGGAGGAATGAAAAGGATTACAATTATTAATGGAGGAATAAATCTTTTCAAAACAAGATTAAGATTTAGTGGAGCGCTTTTAGTCTTTTCTCTACTTTTCCTTTTGTCCTCTTATGTTTTCTAGATTTGCAGCTGTAAGTGGATAAAACTGAACGTCTCTTTTGCTGTCATTACACTCCACCTTTAAAATTTGACCACTGACTCTTTCATTCTGCCTCTGTGTTTGTCAGAACGGGCTGATGTCCGGCCTGATGCAGATCCTCCTGCTCAAGGTTTCGGCTCACATCACGGAGCAGCTGGGCATGGCTCCAGGAGGCGAGTTCAGAGAGGCCTTTAAAGAGGTAAAACATGCGCATACGGAGCAAAAAGAAGAGGACAAAACTTTCTGTTTTTTGTGACTCGAATTGTGTCTCTGTCTGCACAGGCTGGACAGGTGCCGTTCTGTAAATTTCACCTCGGGGACAGGCCCATCCCTGTGACGTTCAAAAGGGCAATCGCTGCGCTCAGTCTGTGGCAGAAGGCCCGTCTGGCATGGGGTCTCTGCTTTCTGTCAGACCCAATCAGGTATGAGCCTCGCCCTGCCGTATTCAGTCATCACACTAATTGTATTGTGTCTGTATCTCTGTCTAGAAATTTCTCTTGGGATCACTGCAGCTTATAAAATAATGCACACTCATCGTCCAGACATGAGCCCTTTAATTCTAACATTACTCAAAAAGTGGACTTCACAAACTCTTGAGTAAAAAAACTGCTCGATTATTGGAGCTCATTCCAAGAAGCCGACTCAGGTGGGAGTGTTTTTGTGTGGGGTGCATCGGGGCTGCTGTGTTTTTTATCGTATTATTGAAGTCGTCACCTCACTACACTTGGTGCAGATCCTTGCAGATGAAGTGAAGAATGGACAGCAGTATTCTGGTCTCAAATTAGCACCCACTGAGCTCTAAGTGAAGATAGAATTTCTGTTTTCTGCACATTTAAGAGATCTATTCACCACAGATGGGAACATTTCTGCACTTGGAAGTTTATTCTCTTTATTTCAGTTGATCATTTTGAGGCTGGTTAGTGCAGGTATGTTCTCAGAGGCTGATATAACTGCAGCTAAATCCTGACTGAGAGACAGAGACTCATTGTGTTGTTTTGAAATGATGTTCGTCTGTATGAGGAGAGTCTTTATAAGCACATCAGCTGCTGCTGGAAACCTGCATCATTTCATGAATGGATGTTTAACCGTAGCATGCAACCCCTCCAAAAAAGCCTGCATGCGGCCATCACCTCATGTGCATGTATAACAGCAGAGAGAGATGTTTTTATAAATAAAGAAGTTGCTGTTTGTTCACTTTCCAGCTAAACTGAATCTGTGAAGTCTAGATTTTAGTTTCCCTGCTGTATCCTTGTTGATATTTCACTATGAAATAAGCCGATATTTCCATGTAAAGAGTGGGAAAAAGCAAAAGTATGACTTTTTGTGATTGTAAATGATGGTTAAAAAATGGGGGGAAATGTGGCGGCAGCAGCTTTTTTGCTCTGAGCTGTTTTTTTTTTTTTTGTTTTTTTTTGTGAATAAATTCAGCTGAAGTGTTTTCGTGCTCACAGTTATTGTGAGCAGCGCGGCTGTCCGTCTCTCTGCAGATCTGTTTGGAAGAAAGCAACATGCACCCACACGCTTTATAGAGAACATGCAACTCTGCCAGTTTTTTAAGCTGCTAGCGTGAAAGTGTGTGTGAGCGAGCTCTGACTGAAAGCTTTAAGTGTCTTGTGTGTTCATCCTCTGACATCTCTTACGTTGAGCTCACACACGGCTGTTGAAACTCAAAAGTATGCTTGGAAAGCCTATTTTCTGGGTGATTGGCAAAGCCTGTAAACGCCTTTTAAAGCTCAGCACTTGCTGTAGCCGCGTCCTGATTCTGGGGTTCAATCCCCTGAATTGTGGATTAAAAGAGGAGAAAGCAGCAGGATGAAAAGGATCTAAAAGTCTCTACATTATGCAGTTTTTTATTTTTTATTACTAAAATACATCAAGAGAAATCTTTTTATTGAAAATGTTCAGTGTTTATGGATGTGGCGCTTTTTATTGTTGACTCTCAAAGGTAAAATACTTGTTAAATCGAAATGTCCAGTCTGTCTTATGTGCACTCATGTGACTGTCTGTTTGTGCCTCATGTTTCAGCAAAGAGGACGTGGAGAAGTGCAAACAGAAAGACCTGCTCGAGCAGACCATGTCAGAGATGATCGGAGAGTTTCCCGCCCTTCATCAGACCATTGTGGCTGAACGAGACATCTACCTCACACACACGCTTCGCCAGGCTACACGCTGTGTGGAGGCTCCTTCTAATGCCCAGAGTACGTACCAATGTACAGGGAGTCAGCTATCACATGACTCCACTGCTTCAGACAGGGAGCATGACTGTATCGTGACTCATAACCACCGAAAAATACTCAGATCTTAGAGTTTATGTCCTATTTCTACTAAAAAGTGTCTTACTAACACTTAACTACCGATTTATTTACTTGGCTTGGTTGAATTTTATGGCAAAAATGAGAGCTCAGTTGCTTGTAATAAATAAGAAAATGTCTAATCTCAACAACTTGATAAGTAATCTTTTCTCTTCTTCCACTCTTATGTGTATTTTTTTCAAGCAATTTAGCTCTTATTTTTGCCATCTAATGTCTTAAGATGAACCAGTTTTCTGGAGTTGTCAGGTGAGTGTGGCGAAACTGAGCCTATTAAGACAAAAACACCGGCAGAGAGTTTTTGCAGAGGTGGTACTGCAGACTGTACACACACACACCAAAACAGCTGTTTGAGAGGTAGAAGCACAAGAGGGACATCATATGACAAAAGCATCACCTGTAACCTGATGATATTTGATAAGTGATTAAAGTTACCTGCAACCTTTTGAGTCAAGATACATTTTTTACTTGACTCGATTCAACAAATATCTGCCTTAAAGGAAATTTCAGAATAAAAGCCTCACATGAAAACAGGAGCAGCCTCTGCACAGATGAAAATACTGTATATCAGGCTTTTTGCTGTTGAAGGCAGTGGTGTCAGACATTCATTTCTAAGCATGAGACATGAACTTGTTTGCTGCAAGGCCAATCTCAGCTCCCTAGTCCTTTTGTTTGCTGTCTTACATGTATGTATGCATATCTATAAGTTGATAATTCCACATGTATAAAAAGCTGCTGTTAAATTCAAGTACTTGTTTTCTGCTTGCACTTGTAACACTGCAACATTGAATGGTCTTAAAGATTACTTTTAAAATTATTCTTAGTATCGCTTCATTCTTGAATAAAACTAGGTATATTGCTTCATCAATTTTAAATAAAAAGTTCAAGCTTAAAAAAATACACACCACCTCATTGTAGCACCACAAACTCAGTGGTGTAATAAACCAAACAGTGGTGATAAGGCAGTGTGAATACCACAGAGAGTGGTCATGGAAATGCTCAGTCATGCTTCCCTTATAAAGAGTCACACTGACTTTGCAGAAACAGAGGGGATTTTTTTTTCATTCTGTGTTTTTATCCCTAAAGCCAGTTTGCAATTAAGGCAGCCACAGGGGTGTGATACTTAATGCTTAATGCTCATCACTGTGTCTTTGGCTTACAATACCAACAAAGGGAGAATCAGGACTTTAGTTTGTGTTTGTGTCATCAAAAAAGGGTAGCCTGTGGATCAAAATATGATAGATTTTTTTTGTGTGTGTGTAATAGTGTTTGTTTTGTCTTCCTGTAGAAGTGCCTGCTGTGGTGGTGGGAGTTGTGGGGATGGGTCACGTTCCTGGAATAGAAAGAAACTGGGAGAAGCCGCTCAACATCAGTGAAATCATGAGGTATGTTTGTCTTCTTCGTGTGTGGTCTCAGTGCAAAAAAAGTTAGAATGCTGTTTAAATGCTGACAAAACAGATGTTACTGGTTTGCAAATCATCTAAAATCATTATTTAATTAAAAATGAAATCGAAACTGAAATCCTCTATCAGGCAAGACTGGGACAACATTTTACTTTCAGCCTCCAGAACCTGGTCTGCTGGGTTCACTTACATTGCCTCTGGACTGTTTCCATTCAAATATTGCCTTTTAAATGATTTGCAGACCATCCACATGTTACACAGCAGCCTGGATCTTTGTAGTCCATTATAGGAAGTCTGTAACAGAAGTTTTCTGACTCAAGCTGCTCGATGTGTCTGTTTGTCTCTTTTTTTAGTGTTGCACCTCCGTCACGTGTCAGCTGGGTGCTGCGTACGGTCTTTAAAGGTGTGATGATGGGCATGCTGGGATACGCTTGCTACCGAGCTGGAGGGGGTCTAGGCCGGGCCCTGATGTCGTTATCTGCTGTCCAGTCTCTACTTCAGACTCTGCAGCCCCCTACGGCTTGACCCCACTGGTTCTTTAAGCCATCAGTGACATGACCTTTGTCTTTTTCAAACAATGCATCTTTCACCAATGGCCTTAAAAACAGGAAGTGAGGCTGGAGGAACGGTTTCACCAGCCCACCCGATGAACTTCAAGGACCTCAGGGGGACCGAAGCCTCCCAACTCCTCTCACTGTCCCTGTAGAGTCTGCAGGGCTGTACTGCCAAAGAAACCTCGACAGTACTCTTTGATTCTTTCATATTTAAATCCCATAATTTGTAAAGTTTACAAATGCCAATGATTCCTCTGCATAGATTTACATTTTCCCTACCATTCCTTTAAGTAACTCACACACACATACACACACACACACACACACACACACACACACACGCACACACACACACACACACACACACACACAAACACGTTATCTGACATCACCCTCAGCCACTTGCTCCAACATAACTGAGCCATCACCAGAGAGGTTCATTTTTCTAACCTGGTCTCCTGATTCCCTCCTCTTCTGGTGCCAACCAGCAATTTCTGTAAATGACCCATGTTGAGTCCAGCACTTTATATGAGACTGTAGAGAGTCTGTTTCTCTACTGCGGCCTACAGAAGGGTTGAGAGTAAGGGCCTGTGTCCACTCGCAGCTTTTTTTGCACTTTCAGCCACCTCAAATTCAAAATGCTTCCTCCTGACACTTTTGTTTTAATTTTATTCAGGTAAATTTGACAAACCAATGGTAATAATGATGGAAAAGGATCATGTCTTTGAACTTGCAGCAGCTCTAACTACACCTATGTATAGAAATGATACCTTTGAAAAAACAGGTCTTGGTGCGTGAGATAAACTCCGCCTAGTTTCTTCCTGCTGTTGCACTTTTCAAAATTGACACTTAAAGTCATGCCCCTACTTTTTTAATTGGTCTGTGGTAGAAAATTGCCATTGAGTGCAGTTTTAATGCTCGAAAGGTGAAATATTTTCATACTTTGAGACCACTGACTGTCTTTGAATGGCACACCTCCATGTCCTTCCATTGTAAACAAGTAAAGCCAAGATACACCTGCAATTGACACTGATATTTTTTGCTTGTAGTGCATTTTGGATCCATGACCAGGAATGCACGAAGTGGTTCTTTGTCAATGTGCTGATACATTCAAACTCTGATGCTCTGATTCAACAAAGACACGCCTCTGTCTCACCCATCAAGCTCCCTTGAAAAGTTTGTGTATAGGTTTGTTATATTTCCTATCACTAGTCCTCCTATCCTGATAATCTGATACACACAGCACTGCAAGGGCCTCATTGGTCAACAGAGCTGTCAATCATACTCTTTTTGTTGCATCAACTAATTCAAACTAAATTTTTTGGAAATTTCAGAGGTTTCAGCTTGATAGGACTAACTATAATGAGAGAAACCATGTTTGAGGAACATTTGACATATATTTTAAGATTATGACTTGACCCATATTCCACCTGTAAAAATGGACGAGGCCTGGTTTGTGACCTATACTGCCGCTGGTCAGTAGGGGGAGCTCTGAATGTGTTGGCTTCACTCTCGTATTGTCCATATTTTATACAGTCTATGGTAGCAACAAAAATCCACCAATACTAAGGAGTGGTTTGTTCCAAGGACACAAAACTTTGTTGGTTTTGTACAGAAAACAGGCCCAACTGCTGCAAAAAAGACTGCTGCCAGTGGACACAGGCCCTAAAGCAGAAAAGCCAGAACTATAATAAACAGAGTATAATAATATATACATTCACACACACATATATATTTATATATAGCCTGGAGAGTCTTCATAATGGTATTATTATAGTGTGTGCATGGAGTGGATCTAATGGTTGTGAGGGAAAAACATTTTTGAAGCTGGAGGCTGACCGTTATCTTTAAGTTAGGAATGATCTCTCGTATGAAGAGTATATTCTTCATAAGATTAAGACTAAATTTAACAGATAGAGGATAAAAATTTGACTGCGTGTTCATGAACCTGGCCATATTATCAGATAAGTGCCTCATATTGCGGCAGTCAGGGCTCGAGGTGAAATAAACAGCAGCAAAAATATGTTAAATTAAACTGTTAAAGTGAATGTGAAGGAACTTGACATTATACAGTTTTATGATAGGCATGTTTTTGAAACACTATTACCCCTAAATATAGTGCAGGCTGTAACGTGCATCCGGTTGCAATAATATCTTAATTTATATTCATGATTGTACCTCCAATATGAGGCACCTTCTTATTCTGGCTTAACCGTATAATGGTATAATGGTTAATACTTTGAACAGAAAACTATCCTTTAAAAAGTCTCCTCATGAGAAAGCTGAGGCAACTGTTTGAACATCTATGACACATACATCATCACAGCCAGATTCAGTATAAAACAAGAGTTCAAATAATACCACAAAATGAAACCCGTTGCTTTTAAATTAAAGATTGAATTGGGAGCATGGAAGGGATGAGACTTTGTATCATATGAGATGTGTAATGGAGTTGTTTGGACTACTGTGATGGAAACAGAGTGCAGACTGTTCAGAGTTTAGAGGTAAAGCCTTACACTGCTATCACTGCTGCCTTTGACCCGACTTGTATCTATTGAACAGTTTGTTGTTGCACATGTTCAAATTTGCTCGACTTACTTGCAGGAGATTCTGATCGAGTATTTACATGATGCAAGGCTTTATGCCATAAGCAATCTGCAGGTATTCTTAATTTTGATTTTACTGTTTTTATGTATGCAATATGGAGGAATATTTTTACTGTCTTTAATTTGTAAATTGAACTAATAGGGGACCAGAGTGAACAAAGCAGTGCCGTTTAATTTTCAGTCGTGATGAAACTGTTGATCCAGGTATGAAACTAACCCAGAGAACTGTCTTCCAACCGATTAAACAATGCTTTTGCAGAAGTAACAGATAAGTGGGTTGCAGTAATGCGCTGCTGGTCCTCTAATAAAGGCAAAAACAAAAAATTTCTCTGTCCTCTACCCATAACACTTCCAAATGTTTCACCTGCTGTGTGCTTGAGAAATGCCAGGAGGAAACAGGAAGAATGCTTGTACTGGTAATGAAATTTATTCTCCGCACTCCTTTGTGGTGTAACTCTCATTAAGCCAAACATTAAAGCCCAACTCTATGATTTCTTTTTACATTTTCAATAAACTTCATTTGCCTCTGAAGTTTGACAGTACTTTGTTTTGACAGTACTGCATTACATTAGCTTGACACCACATCAGCCAACAGATTTAGTTTGTACAGCACTATTTACACAATAATAATGTAACACAAAGTGGTTTACAAGCCAAAAAAATAACCAATCCAAACACAAGACATGAGAACCTATTAAAGATGCGGAAACTGATGTAACAAAACAGCAAAATACAAGATAAAATACTGTTGGGTTATCTAGAAAAATAGATTGAGGAAAAACTGCAAAAGATCATATGAGGTTTTTGCAAGATTTTTAAACACCTTGAATATTTATTTGAAGTGAACTGCTATCTCCCCACTGAGCATTTTTTGGTCTAAAAGAGGTCTAATAGAAGTCTAAATGTAGATGATGTCTAAATGTAAACTTTTGGCCACTGATTTACACAGGATTGGCTTTTTAGCCGACTTAAAATGGAAACTTTTAAAAAGGCCCTTCAGAGCGGGATATTTCTGAAACACCCCTGCCACCATTGTCAACAGCAAGCCTGGGTTTTCATTGAAAACGCTGACAACATGCTCTATTTTGGGCATGCACATTACACTTTCAATGTGGGAACAGTTAACCACCATGTGCAAATTGGACAACAGTAACAGTAGCTGAACCATTGATAATTAATTTATTATCATGAGAAAACATATTGTTATATCGAGACAATGAGATAATATGCCAATATCACGCAAGTGCATAAAAAAAGAAAAATCCATGGCCGTTCTTGTCTTCTGTACTGTTTCATATATCGAGGTTTTTTTCCCCCTCTAGCCAAGTTCTGACCGACGAAAATTTGGCAAATTGTAAAGTAACCATTAAAAGGTATGATAAAACCTTAAAAACATTAGTTTGGCACTACAGTTTGTTCAAATAGTACATTTTTTGAGGTTTAAGATAAATATTAAAACACTGTAAAAAGATACTGTTGAAAAAAAAGTAAAACATGATTATTCTGGCTTTTGTTGTCATAGCTGATTTAGTATCACAGGCATTTACTCCTAATGGGCCACACAAAGTTACATGTTTCACTCTCGCAGACCGTTGCTATGAAGAACAGACCGTTGCAAGGGGATCCCGTCTTCGTTGACGCTTTAAAGATTCGGTCTGACTGGTTCCGCCTTTCCGCTTGGTTCTCGTCGGACTAATAACACCGTTGCACAGTATGCCTCACAAACATCCGCTTCAGTTTGGAGGATTATGAAAGCATGAGTCGGTACCCTGGATTGTAACTGCGCCAGCGGCTCTCAGCGCACACACAGATGGCCCTGGTTGGATGGCTTATTTAGCTCCCCGGTTTGGACCGTCCCGCTTCTTCCTGCCAGGTGTGTCCTCGTTCAGGATCTTTCACGCAACCGGTATGGCCGACATGGGTCCGATGATGAGTCGGTCCCCGCTGGAGCGGCTCGGTTTTGACAACCTTGCCCTGAGGAAACTCCCATTGGACCTGTCCGAGGAACCGGGGGTCCGACAGGTGAAGGGAGCATGTTTCTCCAAGGTGAAGCCAGAGCCTCTGACCAAGCCTCGGTTCGTGGCTGTGTCCCATGAAGCCCTGGCTCTGTTGGGTCTCAATGGAGAGGAAGTTGTGAACGACCCACTCGGACCAGAGTACCTGAGCGGGTCCAAAATCATGCCCGGATCCGAGCCGGCCGCTCACTGTTACTGCGGGCACCAGTTCGGGCAGTTCGCCGGGCAGCTCGGCGACGGAGCTGCCTGCTACCTCGGGGAGGTGAAGGTCCCACCCGGGCAGGATCCGGACCTGCTGAAGGAGAACCCGAGCGGGCGGTGGGAGATCCAGGTGAAAGGAGCCGGACTGACCCCTTATTCCAGGTACGCGCAGATCAAGAGCACAAACAGTAACTTTCCCCCAGTCCTGCCTTATCTAACTGCTCTACAAGTCACCTACTTATTCAGCTTCTTAGTTCCTTAAAAAACTGATCTTGAAAAACATGTCTGGAACACTACGCAATCTTGGTAGAATAATTTTAAAGTCAAGAGTAGTGAACTTGTAAGTCATCTTAAAACCTTAATGACTATCACCCATGCTCTTAAATTTAACAAGTTTTTTTTTCTTTTTCTTGTTGTTTATCACATTTTGTACTCTTGAAAATAAGAGTTCCTTTTGAGGAAAAGTTGAAATAAAACTACTCCCTTTATTCTCTGAAGGTATGAGTGCTGAGTAAAGAGGTCATAAATGCACAGTTCGATGATCAACAAATCATTTAGAGCAGATTTCTTATTGATAACAGTGTAAAGTCAATGTGTCAAATGTCAGTACTGAAAGGTTGTATTGTTTTATGAAAAATATCTAGGGGAGAGTGGGGTAAGATGAGCTATTTTTCATATTTCGGATCCCTACATCGAGGCAATCATAGTTTTGTCTCTAACTAGTGTATCTGCATATATTTCAAGATGTTGTGCATCCCTGCAAACCAACGGAATGAGTGTAAACATAACTGTCTCGATAATATAGCATGCCAAAAAAAGTGGTCTCCAATGGTCAACTTACTCCGTGTATGGGGTAAGTTGACCATAGAAGTGGGGTAAGTTGAGCCATATCCCTACTACCCCCCCGCCCTCCAACCCAGCCCTCCCTCACCTTCTCTTGCCCTAAATAACAGTCACTTCTTTTTATCTATTACACGCTATTCAGCTGGAACAATAATTCTTTCTATTATTATTGCATATAACTGCAAAAAAGCTGTTTTGTAAAAAGCCATTTTAACATGAGAATGCCTTTAAGTGATTCAGAAGATTCACAGCTGTATTTTTGAAAAGAAAAAGTAACACATTTACACAATCTGAACTGAAACTCTGATCCTCTCATCAAACTTCTTTACTTTCTCAGTTGAGTCACTGGCTCGACTTACCCCTGAACTACTATGATGACTTCATTAGTACTCTAAGCTAAAATGGTGGACTTTTATCATAGGTTTTTGACTTCATGTTGTAGCTCATAGATACCACAATTGTATAAAACAAATTTAAATGACCTTTTTTGATCTGAACACAATTTTAAAAAAACTTATGACAGACTAAATTCACTTTCAAAAGTGAAAAATGTTATTTTGGAAAATAAATGTCTAACCCCTTCACCCATCTGCTTCTAACCTTCACAGACTCCATGAATTGATACCCATCTCATAAATATTTGGTCACATGATCAATTTCTGTTACCAGTTCCTAACAACAGGGATTGGCTCAACTTACCCCACTCTCCCCTACTCATTTTAAATCCATGTTCATCACTGCATCCACAAATGAGGTTAAAATTGAACCCTACGAAGAGGAAACCAGAAAGAAACAGGATCTGAGGGGCAGAGGGAAACTGGACTGTTGGACGATTAATCAAACTCATGGGCCATTGTTCTCTGCTCTAAATGAGGGAGGAACCACCTGGCTTCTTGTCTTTGCTCGATTAAAATGAAATATCAGCTCTGAAATATCTTATGTTGTTGTTCATCGGGACTGGGAATGACGAATGAAATCAATAATGACGTGTTTTGCTCTGTTCTATACAGACAGGCTGACGGCCGTAAGGTTCTGCGCTCCAGTATCAGAGAGTTCCTCTGCAGTGAGGTCATGTTCTTCCTCGGCATTCCCACCACCAGAGCCGGCTCTGTGGTCACCTCTGACAGCCGGGTCGTACGTGACGTGTACTACAGCGGAAATCCACGCCACGAGAGGTGCTCAGTGGTCCTCCGTATCGCCCCCACCTTCCTCAGGTGAGTGCAGGCTGTCACTTTTACCTTTTACAGATGTCTAAAGCTCCTCAGATGTACATATTGGAGTTGTTTGTCTTTGAACAGATTTGGATCCTTCGAGATCTTCAAGCAGGCTGATGAGTTCACGGGCCGGCAGGGTCCGAGCTACGGGCGGGATGAGATCAGAAGTCAGATGATGGATTATGTCATTGAGGTGTTTTACCCTGAGATCCAGCAGAATTTCCCAGACCGGGTGGAGAGGAACGTAGCTTTCTTCAGAGAGGTCAGAAGTGATACCTGTCAACACAATCAGAAAATTAATTTGAGCACAGATGGTCTGTTTTTTTTTTAGTGTACAGAGTTCAGTTTTCTAAAGTAATCTGATCAAATCAGAGCAAACAGATCTGATCAAACTCATGCTGCTGAAAGGAAACAAAGATGGTTAAATCAGATTAGATCTAATAATCCAGTTTTGTGTTTGATCTGGATTCATAGATCTTGTCTGTGTTGTTTGAAAAGAATTGGATTGTAGAGGGCGAGTCAAGCCAGATTCTGATTTGTGGTTTTATGGAGGGACTGACTGGAATGACAACACGCTCAGTTTTAGACAGGTAGAGCTGCAGGTAGTGTTCCTTCATCCATTTAGAAATATCTTTTCCCATTTTTTTCAGGACAAAAGTGAGAATAAAAAGTTGATATTGGATGAAAAAGTCTAACTCTTTGATTGAAATTTGTCCCTGATGAAAGTCTGGAATAAGTGAGCCCACAGGTTAACTCGACACAGCAGGTGGGTCTGATGTTACAGTCTGGAGCCGGGACATTTGGATCCTCTAATCTTGTTAGGCTGCTGACGCTTCATTTCCTCTGTGTGCTGAGTCACTGTGCCCTCTCCTTTTTATAGGAGATTAAGATGTCAACAAGGCATTAATCTCCAGATAAAGGCTTTTAAATTCATCATCTTCTTATTACAGAAATATTACCTCCGCTGATGCCAGATTTCTGTCTCTGCATCTGTAGGTGGTGCTGCGTACGGCTCGGCTCGTGGCTCAGTGGCAGTGTGTCGGCTTTTGTCATGGAGTCCTGAACACAGACAACATGAGCATCCTGGGACTCACTTTGGACTATGGTCCTTATGGCTTCATGGACAGGTCAGACTCAATGGGTTTGATTCATCTCAAAGGTTTTCATATCTTATCCATCATCTTACAGCAGTAGGAGAAATTTCACAACCTCATTTTTTAAGAGTTAGGATGTTGAGGAAAACTACAGATAAAATTATAGTTTGATGGTTTGTAGCTCATCTAGCCAAATTACAAATGGTGCAAAGATTAAATCAAATGTTGAGAAGTCTGAAACTTTTGTTTTATGAAAAATATATGATCACTTTTAATTGGATACTTTAAAAAAACCTTTTGTAAACCTTAGTGAACCCAATAGACCAGTATCTTGAGTCTTAAAGTGAAATGTCGTCCTAGTCTTGCCTGATAGAGGATTTTAGCTGCTAAACAGTTCAGGGTCTCCTTTGTCCTATTTTGGTGTCATGATGCTCCAAATGTTTTCAAAGGGGACAAGTCAGGACTGCAGGCAGACCAGTTTCTCAGCAGGACTCTTCTACTACAGAGCCATGTTGTTGTTATCCCTAAACCATATGAAGGTTTTCCCTTAAGATCAAGAAAAATATCAAGTTAAAATGATTTCCCCAACATCTGTTTTTAATCAAAATTTTAGTATTTAAGTCTTATGGAACTGGGTTGGTAGTTCTTTAATAACTCAGACATCATATCTTAAAACATTTCTTTTCTCCTCCCTCCTAGGTTCGATCCAGACTTCATCTGTAACGCTTCTGATAATTCAGGCCGGTACTCGTACCAGGCCCAGCCGGCCATCTGCAGGTGGAACCTGGTGAAGCTGGCGGAGGCTCTGGCTCCGGAGCTTCCTCCTGACAGAGCCGAGGCCGTGATGGACGAGTACCTGGATCTGTACAACAACTTTTACCTGCAGAACATGAGGAAGAAACTGGGCCTGCTGAAGAAAGAGGAGCCTGAGGATGAGATCCTGATTACTGAGCTGCTGCAGACCATGCACAACACAGGTGGGGACACAGTCTGAGAGAGAGAGAGAGAGCGCTTTAGTCAGAACTTTTACATTTCCAAAGATTTTCAGACTGTTTTTTTGTTTTGACTTTTTCTTTTTCTTCAGAATTCTAAGAAAAGTTTTAGATCTCTAAGAACAAATGGAAAAAATCAGACTGTAGAATATAGGGGGGGCCATAATCTCGGTATGTCTTGTAGAGTAGCAATCCAATAAACAGCTTCAATATATGAAAAACTTTTTTAAATCACATAAATAAAGTTTTGTTTTAAAATCTCAGACCTTTTTGGTTTGCGTTTACCCTCATACTCTGCTGTACAGTTGAGTCATAAAATATGAGGTTATTAAAAGCACTGCTGTATTATGAGCCGTTCTGCTGTCACTGTATCCGTCTCTGCCCTTCCTGCAGGTGCTGACTTCACCAACACTTTCCGCAGCCTGAGTCAGATCTCCTACCCTACTGAGGGAGATGGTGATGAAGAGGAGGAGGTGCTGAAGAAAGCCACAGAGCTCCTGCTGCAGCAGTGCGCCTCCTTAGAGGAGCTGAAGGCTGCAAACAAACCCAGCATGGATCCACGGTAAGGAAGCCCGGCCTGACGCACAAAAACAACGATGTTTCACCTCCTCTGCAGTATTAGAGAAATGAAACCTAGCAGGAACACAGCAGGAGAGACAGAGGTGAAGAGAGGTCGAGCTTTCTGAGTGTCCAGGGCTGAAGACCTGAGCTGTAAATACAGGCCAGATTTTAGATGAAGCAATGAAATCATTATAATGTGCATGTGCACATAAATCATCCCTACTTTTGCTGGTAGCTTGTCTTTGAACTTGTTGATCCTTTAAACAAAAGTGGTGCTTCTGTTTTCTTTCATATAAGATCAACGAATAGTGAACCTCATGGTTTGTCTGGGGTGATGCATTCTGCAGCCTCCAGGTGCCGCTAGTGAGAGAACCTATCAGGATTTACATGAGAGGAGAAAAGTTGGAAAAAGCTGCATGAAAAATCAGTGTGTCATAGCGTTTACATTCAAAGTGTGTTGGAGCCACATTAGTAATTTTTTACAGATCTTTCAGAAAGAATCTGTAAACAATGGTGCCAATGCTGGTGCCAAAGTTTTCCTTTATTTTAGGCTAAACAGGGGAGTAAATCTGATCCCTGACTGGACCAGAACATTAAATGAATAATTTAGAATGGTTGAAGTCACAAGTTAAAATGTGTTATCTTCGTTTTTTTCAAAATTCATCTTTATTAAGTGGCGGTAAATTTTGTTGAATGCCCTGAAGAGGAACTGCACAAACATTCAATGATCATTAAAAACATTTCAACAACAAAAAAATCAAACACAAGAACATTTCACAAAAATACTAAATTATTTCATGAACTGTTAGACCCTTTCACCTAAATCATAAACATTTCACTTGATGCAAAATAATTTCAAGAACCAAAACAGAAAAGAAAACATTTAATTTGACACACCATTGTAGACTCTTTAAGGGAGTAGATATGTCACATTACTTAATGATACTCCATTAAATGCCAAATAACTCTATAAAGTAGAGAGAAATTTGGATTTGTCAGTAACTTTGATTTTAAGGGTACAAAGTCAGTTTTATGAAATAGTTATTAGTCTTGCTGTCTGTTTTTTATTTCAGTCTTTTATTTTTTCTATCTATACCAGACAGAGAAACACTTTCTGACACACCTGGAAACTCTGTTCTGATTTTGAATCTGCTCACAGAGAGCTGGCCATGTTGATCTCCATGGCTCAGAGTAACCCCGCGCTCTTCCAGATGATCTCAGACCGAGCGACGATAGCGAGACAGTTAGACAAACTCAGCAGACTGAGAGACCTGATGGAGACGAATGAAGAGGAGCTGAGCGGCAAACACACTGAGGAGTGGAGCCGCTGGATTACACGATACAGGTCAGATCTGTATGGTGGCTGAAAGAAGACAAATCAGATTTCTTTTACAAACATTTTCTGACTTTGAAACTTTTTTTGCATTTACACTGTGTTTGAACTTATACATTTGTTTTCTAATACATGATCTCTAAATTTGCTGCGGTTTTTCTGTATTTATTTACCTTTTTTCTGAATTTGCTGCCTGTTTTTTCAGTTGGCCACAGTAGATTTGTGGAGAAAAATAAATATCGGGATAATTTAGAGAGGAAAGACTGAGAGAGACAGAGGGTGGAGGAGCTGCATGCAGTGGATGAGAGGTTTTTGGGGTGGAGGTGTAACTGAATGAAGGATAAGGAGGAAACGTGGGTGTAGAGTCTGATGTTGCTTTTTACTGTAACTCTCTAAATGTCTGGCGTTATCTCCGCGACAGGAAGCGTCTGGCTGAAGAGCTGGAGGGACAGAGTGATGTGCAGGCGGCGCAGGAGGAGAGGGTGAAGGTGATGGACAGCACCAACCCTCGGGTGGTGCTCAGGAACTACATCGCCCAGAATGCAATAGAAGCTGCAGAAAGTGGAGATTTCTCTGAGGTGAGGTTTGAATCTGCTGCCATAATATTTCACTCTGCACTTGTGAAACTTTTAGTTCTGCTTTGCTCACTTCCACTCAATAGAAGCTGTTTTAAGCTCCCAGGCGTAAAGATCTGACTTCATTTATGAGCAGTGAGGTTCCCCAATTTTTTTATGCTTCCATTTTTTCAAAATGAGGTCATTCAAACTAATCTTAAAAAAACACAAGATAAACTTTGCTGTACCTGTAGTAGTTGATAGCTTGGCCAGAAACAAGTTTGATTGGCCAGTGGATTTTTTTTTTATCCACCTGCCATCGAGGCCCAAGAGTTAAAAAGTAAATTTCAAGTGACAGAATGATGCTTCACCATCAGCAGTGGAACAGAGAGAAACAGGTCTTCTCGAAACTTACTTACACTTTGCGGCTTAAGTTTACTGAAACAATAACATCGTGTTAAAAACTCAAACTCTGTCATGTCAGTTTCCATGTAGAGAACAAAATCTGTTTTACATAGTTTGTACTACAGAGTTAGGGTCGATCATTTCTGATGCATTTTAGGTGAGAAATGTACCTGCCAACTTCAAGCATATTTTTGTCTTTAGTTAAAACTAAGAAGGGTGTGTAAGCTGTTTTGGTGCAGATATCTGTTAACAGAGACAAATAGATCCTCTGAATTTCTCTGATGGGATTACAGCAGTGCGGGATCTGCCTGCTTTTGCTCTCCATACCAAACAGCACAAGCCTCCTAATACCTGATTGGTCAGTACTACTCAGTCAGCAAACACACAACAAACAGAAACCAGATAATGCCCCATGATGAAAATCCAAACTGTTTGATATATTTAACATTTTTATGTGGAATCTGTAGAGATTATTCATCTTAAATTTGTACATGCTCTGCTACTGTCTGTTGGTGCTTTTATTTTGATGTTTTCACTGCCTTGCATTGCATTCATTCCCCATATCTTGAAAGCATGCTTTTATTTTGAAATGGAGGATACACTGCTTCTAATGGATTCTGTGTTATCGAAAAGAGTTAAACAGGCCAAAAATGAGGGTTTGAAAGTATCAATGTTCAATGTTTCAGCATTCACAAGTGTGCGACTGTCTTTCAGAGCAAGGTTGTAGTTTTCTAAAAAGATCAGAGCTTCAGCTGTTGTGAAAACCTTAGCCTCTGGCATTTCCTCCCGAAGTCTGTTTCCGGTTTTTCTGGTTATGTTCTCATGGTTGAATTTTCTCTGTGGCCAACAAGGCAGCTTCATGTCCCACCTGTTTGAAGACTTAAAGCTCTTAAAAGCGATCTACTGTCTCTGCAACAAGATAACCAAACCCCTCTAAATTCTGAAGCCACATATTTTGGATACAGTTCCTTTCCTCCTCTCAAAAATCCTCCTCGTGTTTTTTATGTTTTGAATTCTAGCTACTCCAAACTAACCGCTCTCTGCCTGTGGGTTTAATAAAGTTTTCATTAAATTGGATTGTCCTTTACTTTCTCTCACCTCCTCTCTGCAGGTCCAAAGGGTCCTGAAGGTCCTTGAGAAACCTTTCTCTGCACAGCCGGGTCTGGAGCTCCCTTCGTGGTCGGGCGGAGGCGAAGCGAGCACGCAGGGAGAGAGAGATGAGGGAGAGGAGGCGCAGCAGGAGGCGGCGTCTTCATCCACGGCCAGAGACCCTGTCCCCTACGACAGCAAGCCCCCCGCCTGGGCCACTCAGATCTGTGTCACATGATCTTCGTAAGAACTTCCCTGACTGGCTCCTGCCTCATGATAAGAGAGTTTATCACCATTGTTTTTGTACTCTAAATGTCACTGAAAAGCTCTCTTAGACTTTGGCAGGCGGCGTCAGGGGAGTTAGTATGAGGTCTGGCATCCAAATGCTAACAGCTGAAACAAAACAGACAGAGAAGAGCTGAGTTTAGCTCCAAAAATTGAGCTTTTAAATGTGAAAGAGTGTCAAAAAATACCTATAAAGTGATGATTTTCTTCCGGGACCTGACAGTCCTGCTAAACACAGGATGCTGCAGTACCACTTGATGTTAGAAGGGACTTAATTTCGTGAATTTACAGGATGGGCATGGTCATGAATCAAATTTTAAGTAGCACAACGTGTATTTTGTAAAAGTTTTGATTAAAGGGAGGGGTTGCTCAGCTTCTTTTTCTGTTTGTTTGTTGTTCAGCTTTAATGATGAGTCAGACAAAAAGTCCTTCAGTGACCTGTCTGACTCTGAAACAGCAGGGTGTCACCTCTCCACTTATACCAAATAATACCGTGCGCGTGAAAGGGATGGTTGTTTTCGTGTGATTGTACCATGAGCCGCAGCAGATTAACACGCACAATATTCACTCCTATAATAGAAGCGTTGCCTTTTCTCCACAGTCATAGCTCCACTGTATGTTCACAGAGACACACAGGACTAACCAACGTTTGTCCTCCTTAAATGTTTAGCTCAGGGCTGTTGCAGGAGTAACAAGGGTCAGCTGATATCTGTTTTCAGGGCTAATACTGATCCTAAACTTTGCATTTTTTTTCATTTTAAACTTTTAAGAGTCTACTAACTTGTTAAAGGTTGTAAAAACAGAACGAATAAGACCAACTTTCACTGATGAAAATGGTTGAATAACAGCTGAGATCCAAGCAAAAGTAAACGTCTGACTGAGCATGTGCCAAAGGAGCTCTACTCTGTTCAAATGCAAGAAATGATTCATAACTTTACAAGTTGACTATCAAACTCTAAAAGTCTATTAACTGTTACAGTTAGTAATAAAAACACAACAAAGAACATTGCTGCTAAGATTGTGTTATTTCCCAGTGACAGCTGAGATCAGGGAGGTAAACATCTGGCAGCACATGTGTATGGAGCTGTCAGGGACACTTGAGCCAACTAGAACGCTACTGATTCATTCTGTCGCCCTCCTGCACGATAAATACCCAAATACCAATTATTAACTGCTAGAATAACAAATGAAACATTAATACTGTATGAGAAATCAGCTTTGAGTAATACTATGTAGGGAACCAGCTCATTGCAGGGGGCAGTAGTGATTTTTTCTGCTGGTTTACACTTGCCATAAAACAAAGTCAAGACAAAGAAGAAGAAGAAAACGCAGCTGCATCATCCCTCTGATGGATGGTTGCTCACGTTTTAAACTGATGCTCAAAGATTTATCATGAATCCAAAAACAACCTACACCCCTACATGGTGATAGTTTGTTTACATTGATACTTAATGCAGCCCCTCTGCTACTTAAAATCAACCTGAAGTTGCATATACGAATGCATTTCAGAAGGTTTTGCTTTTTTTTTAGGAGAGTGTTCAATAACACGCAGAAAACTGTCAATTCATTATTATTATTTTTTTATGTTTTGGTACGCTATCTAAACTCTGAGGGGTTTTTTTGCCCTGGAGGTGAAAGTGTGACACTGCAGCAGCCCTTTAATTCCATGCATTAAAACAGAAACTGTTTCTGAGTGATGCAGTGTAAAAATAGGAAGTGTGTGTGTTATATTTGAACTTTTATGCAGGCTGCAGGTTTATGCCTCAAATGGGATGTGGTCAAGCCTGATTTGTAAGTAAGGGAAAAAGGAGATCATAACTGCCGTTGATGGATTAAAATAAAGTTCTTCAAGCTGAATTTTAATGCAGTAAAAGACAGAAAATGAAATTAGAAGATGTAGCAAAAGTTTTATTTTTACAGATTTAATATTGAATCCTCATTTGAGTCAGTTTCAGCCTCAATGTGTCCCAATAAACTGAGCACCAGTACTCACTGTGTCCTCTCCATTGTGTGTCAGATGCATACCTGTCATTTCTGTCTGTTCATTCATAGACCTGAGCTCCACCTCGGAGGTTTTAAGCTGCTTAACATTTGAATTCGTGTCCTCACTGCATTGCTTCATACTAACAGGAGCCCCTATCAACACCACGCACAGCAGTGGCAGAGGATTTTATCACTGTGGTTTCCTTCTTCTGTTTCCTGGACGCATGAGTGGTGGGGTTTCTTCACGCAGCTCTGTTTGCAGCTCGGGGCGTCAGTAGCATTCAAGTCTCAGCAGGTCTCAAACATTTACTCACAGTGTTGCACAAAGCACCGAGCACACATCTCACAGGGAGTGTTTCTGAAGCAGGCCGGAGCGTAAACACGCTGTCTGGGGTGTTTTATCCACAGCGTGCCTTCACAACAGCGAGCCAAGTCTCATGTTACTCACATTGTAGTCTTCTCACCTTTAATTGTAGGCCTCCACTGAGACTCGGGAGTGGCTTTCGGTGACCTCAGGGTGCGCCCTGAGCCGCTCACACACTCCGCTGCTGCGCACTGATCGAGGCAACGCGCAGAGGTGGATCTGGAACAATGGGTGTGTAGCGAGAGAGGAGACAAAACAACCCCTCAAGACCCTCAGCTGGACTCTTTCTGTCATTTTCTGACATAATAATCATGACGAAGCGAGTCAGACCCGGATATTACCGCCAAGAAGTGAACAAAACAGCATGGGAAGTACCGGAACGGTACCGGGACCTGAAGCAGGTGGGGACCGGAGCGTACGGGACGGTGTGGTAAGTGAATCCCGGGATACTGAAACAGCTGTTAGCACCGATGGCTCTGTTGTGAGTGTGTGTGTGTGTGTGTGTGTGTTTGTTAGACATTTAAACAAAAGGAGACACTGAACAGATGGTGTCATACAGAGGGCCATGTGTGCCAGAACAAAAGAAAAGCTCTGTGCGCTTTATTGAACACACACACATGCACGCGCGCGCTGGGGCTTCACTTCCTGATAGGATGAAGACTTTCACACCTTCGGCTCACCTCAGCTCTCCTGTCATCTTTTATTCACTCGTAGTTCGGCGTAACAGACGCGTGGGTGCTTCAGGGTGACACGGTGCGTTCAGTCAACTTCACTCAGACACGACAATGAAAAGCAGCTTTTGGGCACCTTTGTGCGCCTCCCAGCGTGCTGCGCTTTTGTTATCAATGATTAACTGAGTGGGAGGAGACCAAACTGCTCTGACTGACTCAAAGAAACTTAATAACACATGAACGGACCAAAAAAAACACCAACTAACCGAGAAATGAGGAGGAATACGAGCTGGAGATGGAACCGCCTGCTACAGACCAAAAAAAGCCAATAGGATAGTGTGTGTGTGTGTGTGTGTGTGTGTGTGTGTGTGTGTGTGTGTGTGTGTGTGTGTGTGTGTGTGTGTGTGTGTGTGTGGTTTTCAAACACAACATCTCTTTACTTTAAATAAGCTGCAGTGACCTGATTAGCCCAAATTTGAATCTTATTTTAAGATACTATGAGCCAAAAATAAAGCTGGTGCTTCTGCAGAGCAAAAATAGCAGCTGGAGCACTGAGTGAAAATGTCCATAAAGATGCTGTTGAAATAAGATGTAATTTAATAGCCTGAAAGAAGCTGCATTAGTATAGGACAAAACCATCTGGTCATGTTTTCGTGTTAAACATCTTGATAAAGGATATTTATTTTGACTTCTCAGGTTAAGGTGACTTGCATTATTTGACTTGAAATGAGACAGAAAGACTTGTAAAGACTCATTATTGTCTGTATTGTTAGTCTGGTGTCTCTCATCTTTCTCTTGATGATACTTCAGAGATCCTCTATGATGTTCAGGTCAGTCAAGCACAGTAATATCAGGGTTAGTAAACCACTTTCAGGGAGTTTTGGCGCCATGGGCAGGTGCTAAGTCTCAGTCCCACTTGAGAAAGGAAATCAGCATCTCCCTGAAGCTTCTCAGCAGATAAAGCATTAAGGTCTCTAAAATCTCCTGCTAGACTTTAGGCTGTGTTGACTCTGGACTTGATAAGACACAGACTCTCTAGTCCAGCCTCAGTCCAGTCCTTGTGGAGCTCCTCCAAGTTCCTGGATCTTTTTTGTTTGTCAGTCCTCTAAAGGCTGCTCTCACACCAATTTCTTGGTTTCCTTTTCCTCCTTCATTTTCCCCTCAGTCAACTTTCAGGAATCTGCTTCATATAGACTCTGTGAACAGCAAGACTTTACCGCACAGGCCTTCAGGGGCTGACCCTGCTTGTGAGGGGGGTTTATGATGGTCTTCTGGACAACTGTCAGTCAGCAGTCTGCACCAGGATTGTGGTTGTTGGTACTGAACCAGAGTGAGAGGATAGAGACTCTGTAAACCTGTGAAGGTGTTCCCAGTTAACCAGCTGATTAAAGCTGTTTACAGGACTGAAAGAACTGATAATAAACAGACTTTTCCACGGCACATCTTTGATTTTCATGAGCTGTAGGCTGTGATCATAATGATTTAAACCAAAATATTTCAGTTGGTGTGTGATGAATCTGGAATAACTGAAAATATTCATTTCTGATTCTCAAATAGAAAATGTCTTACTAAATATCCTAAACCATTGACTTAAGACACTATAAGTAAAGTAGTTTACCTATTTTCCACATTAAAGCAGCTGTGAGGAATCATCTGCTTGTGTTGATTTTGGTGCCCCCTGTGGACAAAGATGTATATCTTGTGTCTTTTCGAAAAATATCTCCTCTTGCTGTTTGTTTGTCAAATATACTGTTTCACTCCTGTCAATCAGCCCCCTTTTAGTGTCATTGACAGTGTCATTTGCGTTTGTTTTGGGGTATAAATTGGCATCAGTCTCCATTTTTAACTTATTTCATAAACATTATTAAAACTCCTTATTGGAGCTTTAATAATGTTTGTCTGATAATTCATTTACTTCATGTTTGAACAAGTCCAGGTGTTCCTTTAGTTACTGTTACAGCTATTTATTATATTGGCAAATATAAACAGTTATAAGTGTTTCATCCAATCGGCACCACTGTCATAAAAATGGTGAATTGAGCTCTTTATTGTATATTTATTGACCAAACACTTGTTCCACTGTGGGAGTTTTTAATGCGTTATAAAACCCAGAAATGAACAGTTGCTGTTAGTTTTGCATAAATGTATGTAATCACATCTATAAAACTTATTAATGCATCAGAAAGGATGTGCAAATGTACTTACAATGCGTGACTGTAAATGTTCCCACAAAAACCAGCTAATATTTCTCATCCTACTGGCAGGTTGTTAACCTACTTTAAGCAAATCAGGTCTTATTTTGGCCTCATAAAATCCTGAATCAAGATGTTTATCTAGATGTGTCAAGCAAAAGTAGACTGACCGGTATTTTAAGTCTCAGTAGACATTTTTATGTGAAACTAGACGAAGAACCTGCTCAGTTTTGAGTCTTTGCAGCCCGGCATCATCAGGGTTTTCTTATTTTTTCAGTGAGGATAAAATAAAAAAATCACAGCTATTGTCTTTTCATTAACACTTAATATGAACCCAACTCTTCTAATGTAATATTAGCATAATTGGAAACCTTTATTAATACATCTGTGAAGCTTTATAACAGTGAGTGGTAATAAGCATTCTCAATGTTTTTAAGTGTAATAATCATTTAGTATAGTGCTTTATAAAGGTATTGTTTCTGATGCATAAAAATTAATGCAAAAGAAAAAAAAACACTATTATGTAACTAAAAATGTATCATTGCTGTGACGTATTTTTGTCTAACTTTACTTACAGACACAAATTACTGCTGATCAGCTCTTATAAACGTGTTATAGGATCATGTTATTGTTACAAAGTTCATACAGGGCTGTCACTTTACTTATAGCACCTATAGTCATGCTTCAGCATGTTGTAAATATCAATTAGATATTTTCACAATTGAGAAGTATAGAAATTCAAACTCTTTTAATGATACACTGAGTGAGCTCTCTGTGAAATTTTATTGCTGGATAAAGTTGTTGGAGTTATAATGTGTGCTATGAAACCCAGGATTTAATAGGCGCTGTTGCTAGTTTTGCACGGATGCTCATTGTAACGTCTAAGGATTGTTACACAAAGCCTTAAAAATGCATTTATAAACGTGCTTATGATGCATGATCATGATAGTGGGTTCATGCAAAGTGTTCCCAAAATGAACTGTCCAGAAATTACAACAATCTTTTAAAGCTTCTGTGAGGAACCTTTGGCTTGTGTTGCCACTGGTGGACCCCCAATGGACAAAGTGATACTTCTTGTCAATTATCAATCCATTATGAATTATGTTGCTGATGGTCTTGTTGATTTTCAAGGTCACAAAGGGACATCAGTATCAGTTCCAGTCTGTTAATCAGTTAAAAAATCTTTACTGTGCCTTTAATCCAAGCACCATTTCCCACCCTTCTGGCAGGTTTTTTTTCCCACTCACTCAGCAATTCAGGTCGTACTGTGGTCTTGATTTGTCTTAAATTTATTGGATTTATTTATAATTTGGTTTATAATTTCCTCCTCTGTCCTTCTTACAGATCAGCTGATGTTCTCTGCTCGATATTTATTTGTCTCTCATCTGCCCGTATATTTTGTCTCATGGTCTCGTATCTTTTGTCTGTCCTCAGCTCAGCGGTGGACGTTCGATCAGGACACAAAGTGGCGATCAAGAAGATGTACAGACCCTTCCAGTCAGAGCTGTTTGCAAAGAGAGCTTTCAGAGAGCTGAAGCTGCTCAAACACATGAAACATGAAAATGTGAGTCAGCAGAAAAAACTCCTTACTGTTTCTTTTATTCATGTATTTTTAATAACATTTTTAACTTTGCTTTTTTAAATTTTTGTCCTGCATTTTGTTCCTCTTATTCTTGTCAAAATTACTATGGCTGTGATTGTCCATCTGTCTGTCTGTCTGTCTGTCTGTCTGTCTGTTTGTCTCTTTTTGTTTGTCTTTTGTGTCTCTTGTTCTTTTGTCACATGTCTAACTACTAAGGGTTAAAACTGTCTCTCTGTTGCAGGTGATCGGCCTGTTAGACGTGTTTACTGCTGACCTCTCTGTGGACATGTTCAATGACTTGTAAGAGCACTTCATAGACCTGACAAAGCTTGACTTTTTACTTTTTATTAAGCGCATCATGATCCTGTTATTTCAGCAACACTTCAGACACATAAATTAAAATCAAATTTTCTTTAAAAATTGTCATCCTCATGTTGTTTTTCCTCTCACCTGCAGTTACCTGGTGATGCCGTTCATGGGGACAGATCTGGGGAAGCTGATGAAGCTTCAGCGACTGTCAGAGGAAAAGATTCAGTATTTGGTTTATCAGACGCTCAAAGGCCTAAAGGTAGAGAGCCGGCAGAAATCAAACCACATGAACAATTTAACGCATTAATCATGAAATCTAATGGTTTTTAATGTTATTCTGTTACAGTACATTCATTCTGCTGGGATCATTCACAGGGTAAGCTGGCTTTTCATACTGTATTCATAAGAAGAAAGAGACTGACTCATCATCCATCCATGATCTAATTTCAAAGGGAGTTACTGCTTCTGTCATTAAAGGCATCCTCATACACTCACTCTCATTTAGTGGTGTATTCAGGAGGGGGATCAGAGTGCCTTATTTAGTACCCCTAAAACATTATAAAACAGCGTCTTCTTTGCATCTTTTGCTGAAGTAGTTTCTCTTCTAGTGTTAGACATGGCAAAGTTTCCCTGGATCAAAAACTTTAAAAGGTGTCTCATGGATATCCTTCCAGTGGATATTACATAAAACAAGTGCCAGCTCCAGTAGATATAACCTGAAGAGAAAGCCTTCTGGATGTACATTACATGTTAACTGTATACAAGAGTTGTTGGCACATCCACCACTCATTGTCACAGTTGTAATTTTCCACTACACAATAATTGTATCACCTCATCGTTAAGCTTTTCATGGATATCTAGCATTATCACATTATAATGCAATTTCATCAGTAACGCAATAAGTCTCCTTTTGGAGTTTACCTACATGTTTTCCTCAAACTTCCGCTCATTTTCCTGTCGCTTCATCATAAACTGAATGTAATTTTTCATGTCAAATCTGCAGGACCTAAAACCAGGAAACCTCGCTGTGAACCAGGACTGTGAGCTTAAAGTAAGAAAACAACCCATCATGTTTTCTCCTCTGAACATGTTTCATTCATGGATTAAAAAGGTTCATCAGAAAACTTCATGGTTAAAATCCTTCATGTATGGACTGTCGACTTCCTCTGCCAGCTCTTTGTCCCCCTCAGGTCTCTGCCGCCTCGTTAGCAGAGCCGCTGGCTCGCTGTGAGCAGATGTAGATTTGTCTGTGCCTGACTCTGTTTCATCTCCTGTTCTGTCAGATCCTGGACTTCGGTCTGGCTCGGCAGGCGGACAGCGAGATGACAGGATACGTAGTGACTCGCTGGTACAGAGCCCCCGAGGTCATCCTGAGCTGGATGCGCTACACTCAGACCGGTACTGAAGAGCTAATTAAAGGAAAAACCCGCTCTTATGTGGTCATCTTTCATCTTTGTGTCATGTCGGCTGCTCCCCATTAGCACCAAGCCCTCCTTTTACTCTGTGATCCAGCATGAATTAGATGTCTTAATGTACTCACTCGCCCCGACTCAGAATTTCTGCGCCGGCTTGTGATCACTACATGTCCCAGAATGACCTTTAAACCCACAGCTTCTCTCCTCTTTAACAAGACTCCCTACAAACGCCTGGTGGATGTTTTTCTCATCCAGCAGTTGGTGGAGTTTAGCTCCTTTAATTGAGGATTACTGGAGTATAACAGTACAACGCAGCTTGAAACTGCAGCTGAAGAAAAAACACTGAATCTTCATTAAAAATAACACTTAAAGGAATAGTTTGGCTTTATTAAACTTTGGCTGTATTGGTAGTAGTATATTATCCACAGGGGAACCTGACCTAGCTCGACCCCTTTAATGAGAAACAGTCTCCAACAGAGACTAGACTATCACGTCAAAGGGACTCAAAAGCATCTATTTTCCCCCTAAGGCATAAGATATGATACTTATATTCATCCACCAGGTGATGATCTTTGTACATCTGTCAGGGAATAACACTCCTCAACAGCCTTTCATCACATCTTTACATATTAACTGCTCTGAAAGTTTACAACTCTTTACAGAGAGTCTGAAGTTTGACCTTTTTCTGTGTTTTTCTGCTTCTTCCTCCTCAGTGGATATCTGGTCAGTGGGCTGCATCATGGCGGAGATGCTGCAAGCAAAACCTCTTTTTAAAGGCAGTGACCGTATCCTTTATTAGAACTGTTTATACTTAGCTGAATGGTATAAAAGTTTATGAGCGCAGATTTATAAAACACCAATTACATCCATAGTGGAGACTATATAGGCTGAGTTAATCACGGTTATCGCTGCTGCTGCAGCAGTTCAGTGGTAATGTTTAGAGAGTGTTTTATGATGTGGGACACATTAATAAGATTAAAAACCTTTGTTTGTGGAGCATCATTCAAAGTCCATGTTACAGAATGGTTCGCATGTACAGCAGGATATAACAGACAGCTAAAGTGAAGTTTATAATGAACTTGGGTTAAAGCTGAGAGGCAGAAGACAAACAGCTGTCAGATTACTATAAATGACTAAAGGGTTGTCAGTGGACACTAAATCCAAATGTACAAAGACATGTTGGCTTTACATCTTAAAGGGAAGTAATCTGACTGAGATATGAGGTGAAACCAGCAGAAATAGCTGTTCATACGAGTGTCTGTCTACTGTTGCTCCACCTATCCTTCGACTCTCTCCCTTTAAAAGCCAGACTGAGTTTCCCTAAGTGATAGAGACATAGTTTTATATTAACTAAAGCTGTTTTTTTATGGGAGGAAATAATACATACTCAGCAAAAAATCAAAGCATTGTTTACTTTAAGTATTTACATCTATATGATTTTATCTGAATTATTTTTTTTTTTTATTCATTCAAATTTATTAAAATCAGCATAAATCTGTTAATTGTGATAACAATTCAATAATCTGTTAAAATGTATAAATATGGTTAAAATATGAGGAGCTATAGATCCGCCAAGATTAGTTTTGTTAAAATTTATAAGACAGACACAAATTGTAGTTATCAATAATGAATATATAAATGTTCATTATTGATTCTAAACACACTGGGTTTATTGGTATTATTACATAAATCTAAATCTTAATTGTTTATAAAGTTTATTGGCCTGTTTATGTTAAATTTAAGGAATTCAAATAGTTGGTGATTTTGCATGCAATGAGGCCTAAATATTTCTGTGAGTGCAAATAGTGAAAAGCTGAAATTTTAGACTTAATTTTAATTGAAAGTTTGCAGGTTTTTTAAGAATCCACCTGTCAGACACTGTCAAGTTACTGACAGATGGTGTTCAGACCTGTGAGTAGAGAGACAAAGTTTGTAATATCCAGTAAATAACTTGAGGTGGACTAAATGAACCACTGTCAGCTAAGGCTTTTTAACAGTGGAAACATGCACATCCTGCTAAAAAACAGGTTCGTAGTTTTGTTTTGATACGCATTGTGGAGGTGTGACTGAAATGAAGCCACAGTCACAGTAAATAAATCCGGCAGGAAGGCAACAATGAAATGCAAACAGAAAAAAGACTGTTTTTTAATTTCTTGTTCATTTTGATATAAACGTCAATCTTATTGTCTATCCAGGCTTATCTCTGCTGGCTCGGTGCTCTCAGAGACCCCAGCAGCATTTCTTGTGTGTGAACATATTTTTGTGTCCGATCTTACTGCTCTTGCTGCTTAACCTTTGCGAAACAAAAAAAAAACAAAACAAAAAAGGACATAAGCACTTATGCTGTTTTCAAGACCAGAAAAGTGTGATCAGATTCCAAATGAATGAAAACTGTAAAGCGTTTACATCTATCCGTTTTAATCCTGTGAAAAACTGTTTGCACCTTTCTTTTGCAAATTTCACGTAGACTATCAGCAGACATTACACACAGTCAGTGAGGGTTTTCTGTGCAGACTGGGGCTGCAGAATTCGAGTTTTTAGACAGTCTTATACAGGTTGGACCCTCTGCAAAGGCATGCAAACTATCAGAGTCACACTTTCTTTTGACTTTTTTTGCAGATGTTGTTGGACACATTATTATTGCACTGATTTGTTGCTTGATATTGCATATTGTTATTGCACAGTATCATTGTAAGGGCAAGGTGCAACGATAGCATTGTGCAATATCAGTATCAAGGTTTTTTTTCACATCACCCTCTTGAAGGATCTTGCTTGTGGGATTTTGGTTAGACCCTTGACCCCTGCTCCTCAGATCTGGATCAGCTCTCAGAGATCATGAAGATCACAGGAACGCCATCTCAGGATTTTATATCAAAACTAGAATCTGAAGACGTGAGTTCAGATCAGAGCTTATAGGTTTAAGATCAGGTTTTGCTTTTGCATCTTAAATCTCACAATTCAAGGATTTAAGAACAGTTTGAAGACCTATAAACACACCGTTCTGTGAGTGTAAAAGTGATCTATGAATGTCTCGTCTCAGGCCAAAAGCTACATCAGAAGTCTTCCTAAAGTGGAGAAGAAAGACCTCCTGAAGATGTTTTCTTCAGCTAATCCTCAAGGTGGGACCTGCTCAGGCTCTCAGTTTGATCTGTTTACAGTCTGAAACACAAACAATCTAACAATCCCTAAATTTGTCTCTTTTCTTTACAGCTGTGTCTGTGCTGGAGCGCATGTTACTGCTGGATCCGGAGGAGAGGGTGACGGCTGCAGAGGCCCTAAAGCTGCCTTACTTCACAGACTTCAGAGAACCAGAGGAGGAGACGGAGGCTCAGCTGTACGACCACACCATCGACAACACAGACATGCCGCTCAGTCAGTGGAAACGTAAGGATTTACTTCTTTTTTTTTGATTAACCATGGAAGGAAAAACATGAAAAACCTCTTTTTAAAGTGTGTCCTGGTTAAGACAGGCAGCAGCAAGGTTTAACAAGGTTCAAGACAAACAATGAGCAACTTTTTACAAAGTTAAAACAAGAGACATGATCCCAGTTTGCTCAAAAGACTAAATTAAAACATGCAAATATTTGTGAAAACTGACCAGATTTATTTATCAAGATTCTGCAGCTGGCTGTGTCATTCAAACTCACTCGAGACACCTGGGAAATCAACCAAAATGGATTCCAGCCACTTGCAGCATTTACTTGTTTGTCTCACTATCTTCTCCATCTGAAGGTCTAATTCACTAACCACACGAACGACATTTAACTACAAACACAGCTCTTGCATCTGGGTTGTAGAAACAAGTAGTCAGCATTCCCACTTAAACTGATAGAGCTTAAGGGCCTGTTTCCACTGATTGCATTTTCTGCACCAGCAGCAGCAGCTGTTTTTCTAAGCAAACTAATGCAAACCAATGCAGTTCAGTGTGCACACTGGATCAGCAGGTTTTTTTTGTCCCTTTAGTCACAGTTTTTGAAACATTTCTGCCCTCATCTGTCCCGTCTCCATCACTGACTAATCAATATCAAAATAGATAAAACTTTATTAAGGCGCCTGTGTGAGTCCAGCCAAAACACATTTATGGGCATGCTTGTACTCTTCTTCTGTCTTGTCTTTAGTGCATTTCCATAAATATAGATAGATAGATAGATAGATAGATAGATAGATAGATAGATAGATAGATAGATAGATAGATAGATAGATAGATAGATAGAGAGAGAGAGAGAGAGAGAGTAATATTAGTAGGTCATTTAGATACATGCAAATAATACTGGCATTTAGAGATGCTACATTTTGCACTTGGTAAACCCTTTAGAGGTTCTGCAAAGATAAAGATAATAATATTACTCTCACTATGGTTCTTATATTGTAGTATTTGCTCTGTTTTAAGACATTTCAACTCTTTTCGGGGCTCCATTTGTTAAATGTTGTCTTTACTGAATCAGGTCAACAGTCTACGAAGTATAAACCCTTCTTCACAAAAAAGACATCACCAGATGTATCAGTCAGGAGTCGATTGTGCAACACAAACCCACTCTCTCTCTCAGCTTTAATCTCTTAACTAACTGCTGAATGTGAGATGTAACGGAGAAGGATTCATCGATTCAGACACAAAGATATCTTTAGGATGCAGGAAGGAGCAGCTCTGATAAAAAAAAAAAGATCAGTCACAGATAGAGGATGTGGTGTGAGGAGGATGGAGGTCGAAGGTGTAAGATGATCTGAGGTGCTTTATTGATCCATGTCTCTCCCCTCTGCCTCTTTCTTCAGGTCATACCTTTACAGAGATTTTGACCTTCAAACCCGTCGTGCCTGAATCAAAAGAGACCTCACTGTGAGACACAAAGAGACCGCTGTGCAGAACAAGGACTGGGATAAACCTACATGTATTTAGATATCAATGCCAAAACTCTTCTATCACGCATCCTTTGACAGGAATCAGATCTGATCCACACATCCTCAAAAGGTGTAAACTTCTGGATCAACCTTCATGCAGCGGCTTGGTTTGGCAGCTGCCTTTGATTAGCGAGGAAACATGGGTCATTTTAGTGTAGATATCCATCCAGATCCAGGTTTTTAAGAGTTTAAATGGTACAAATGTTGTAATGGAGTTCATCCAAACCTGCTGGAACGAGACAGATCTGTCTTTAAAAGGTTTGATTTTCACCTATACAAACAGGTTTTAATCAAACTGGTCGGATCTTATTAGTGCATCGGTCTAAATTAGAGGTAGTAGATGCAGGACTGTGCATCATGGTGCGAACTAAACTCAGTGTGAGAAATCAGAGACACTGAGTGATTATTTCTGCTGGACTGTTTTTTTGTAAAGTAGCTTTAAGCAATGAGACAGTTTGTCTCTGGATGACGTGGTTGGATTCATGTATCATGCTTGTGTGTGTATGTGTTTGTGTATGTGTGTGTGTGTGTGTGTGTGTGTGTAGTCTACATGTCTGCTCTGACCTTGTCATTCCTCTCAGTGGCCTTAAGATGACAACACAACACAAACCCTGCTAAGCTGCAAAAAAAAAAAAAGTTAATTTGAAACAAAAACAGAAAATATCTCACTGATTTTTTTAGACACTAAGTTGTAGAAAACACACTGTTTATTTGTGAATGAATGTTTGATTATCACTCGAGTGTTTTTGTCATTAAAAATTCACTTTGAAATCATGCATAATTCATTTTTATAGTTTTTTACTCCCAGCCTGATTCGTGTAAAACTGTTGACTTTTCTTTTAACTAATTGGAAGTATTGAAGTCTTAATTTTTCTGATTGAGGAGTTGAAGAGACAAGGTTTGACAGGAATGTGTTTCCAAAAATCAAAACCAGTTTGAAGTTGCAGATAAACTGATTTTCATGGAAGTTTCAAGTTAGTCAGAGTATATCTGCGTAACTGTCTGAATCAAACTTGAGATCAGCTTTTATTTGGATTTGAAAAAGAGGTAAAGACATCATTTGGCTTAGGGGGTACCAAAGACTGTAAATAGAAGTATATACAGTCTATGGGGGGGTACACTCTCAAAGTGCTGTTTCCTGCATTTCCCATGATGCAACCATAGACTGTTTATAAACATGTGCTACATTTAGGGCAGATATTCACCTCATGATTATAGTAGACATAAAAAAAACAGATTTTATCATTGCAATGTTAGTGGAAATTTCAAAATAAAACAGTCATTTTCAGTAAAGGCAGGATAAAATTTTAACATTTTATTTTATACTTATATTTTACAATCTCATTATTTCTTTATTTTCAGATGGTAATTGTGCTGATATATTAGGAAAGAAGCCTCGCTTGCTTTTAAATATGACTCAAAGTCCTGGTGTTCAACTGGTAACCACACAGGTAACTAACTATTATTTTTTGGCAATGGTTCAATTAATTTCACTAGTTTGGCCAATAATCTCTCTTTGGCAAATCAACAAGTGAAATGCAACACCAAAAATGAATATGTATCTAGCAAAAATTGAGCACAATCTCACTCAAATCTCATCGCAGTCTTCCAGGAAAGACTAGACTGGATCACTCACTGTCCCTAATTCATATAAAGTTTTATTGTGGAGGAATGGACTTAAGACTGAACAATGATGCATGTGTCACAATCACACCTAAAAGTCGTGCAGTTAGAGTGTTTCACTTCTCTCTTGTACCTTAAACTGACACTAGATGGCAGTATGTAAACAAGCAATAACCAGGCTGTGGGTCGCTTCATCTCTTTGGTCTAAACTGAAATAACTTTGCAGAATTTGGACAAACTCTCATGAAATCTGCTGCAGACACTCAAATGTCTCAGAGGATAAGGTCTTATAACTTTAGTCAACCCCTGACTTCTCATTTAGAAACAGCAGCTGATAAAAGTTTTAATTGGCCGCTTGGTTAACGGATTGGTTAATTTGGCACAGATAGTCGGGGTTTTTGTCCAATGTGTCCAAAGTTTAAATGTCTCCAGACTTTAACTCTTTTATCTAGTTGAAGAACTTTATTTTTTCTGTGGGAGGAAAGTTACTGTAAATCTGTCTCAGCACTTTGGTGTGTGAGCTTTGTCATTGTTAACATTCTGGCATTAGTGGAGCTCAGAGAACCACAGAGTCCTTCAGCCTTGTTTTTGACTCGTTTCAGATTGATGACTTTACGTAACACTGTCTAAACATTCTTGCAGATCCCGTGTTTGCCCTCAGATTCTGCTCATTCCTCCTCTCACCCTCTCTGTTGGTGGCTGTTGAATTTAACAGGCCGGCTGCAGTGACCTCCAAATCCTTGACTCCCAAGGGGCGACTCCCCCGAGGACGTGCTTCCTTCCTGGGCCTGAGCTCCTCCAAAGAAAACCCTGCATGGGAGCGTGTTGCGTCCTCACACAGCCGACAGTTCATGCAGGAGTCAGAGAGTTCTTTTCCCGCAGCAGACAGGAAAACAGAGGGGAGAGCACATTTTTTACCCCACAAACCCCTTCTCCCCTCTCCTCTCCCCCCTTCTCATTCTCTCTCTGGCTTGTTTGTTGACCCTGCGGTTTATTTTCAGAGCTTGCTGGATTCAAGCAGCATATTTCCTAAGACACACACACTCACAGAGTTCATGTATGTGCTCCTGTTTGTGCCGACACGCCTGGCATGCAAAGCTGGACACACTCACACACTGGTCCACACACTGACTGACACTACACTCAAAAAAAAAAAAAAAAGCTCAGATCTTGGTGTTTTTGTCTGATTTTAGTCAAAACAGCTCATTTGATGGAAACCACATTAACCTGACAAGTAACATTTTACTCTAAGTCATTACTAGGCTGTGTTAAAGAGATATTCCAGCGTAAAATTAATTTAGGGTCAAACACACCGCAACACTGAGTTAGACACCCCCTCGAGAGATGAATGTTGCCGACCGCTTGCTTCTCTAGTTATACCAACTTTAGTAACGACCACACGATAGCAATACACAGCGGTCTAAGGAGCCATTAACAAACCTCAACTAAAACACCACTATATAGTCACAAATAATGCTCAGAACAGTACCTAACTTCATCAACAGTACATGTAGGGTCCCAGCCATAGTAGTAGCCACCAAACATCTTTTTAACTTTGCCTGATTTCTTTAGAAAAGAGACTAAACTCAACTCACCTACTCTCTTCCAGCAGCCGCTTGTTTCTTTATCATTTCCATGAAGTAATAATCACCATATTGATCATTTTGCACTGCAGACACTGTAGTTCTTCTGTCTTCGCGTCTCGGTCTGATTGCATTTCCATGAAGTAATGATCATAAATGTTCTTCCTTGAGCTGCGTCACCCCGCTGCAGTCCGTAATGGACTGGCCTGAGGTCTCGTTGATATAACTAGAGAGGCAAGCGGTCGGTGACATTCATCTCTCAAGGGGATGTCTAACTCGGTGTTATGGTGTGTTTGACCCTAAATTAATTTTACGCCGGAATATACCTTTAAATGCTTGACTCTGATTGGTCATAACCCTCAATCACAAGAGCGACACGGAAGACAACCTTCGCCATGCCTATACCGTCACAGTGTCAGTACCAGATGTGTTCAGGTGGTCAGACTAACTGTTACACAATATGATCGGCTTGAGTTTCCATGGTTTTAAGAGGAGGTACACCTTCCCTTTTGCCAAACAAACAAATATAAGGCTAGCAATGGACAATAAAGAGTAAAAACAGCTGCAGTAAAAGAAAGTCATAACCTCTCGTTAAAAAAATAAATAAATAAAAACTTTCTTTGCTTTTATTGTTGTGTAATATCTCGAATCAAAATTAGACTCGTCAGTTGAATGTGTCTGATGTTTAGAAGAGTATCTGGACTATAAATGAGACAAACACACTTGGCAACCATCTGAGTTTTTGCAGTGTGAGTCAGGAGGGAGGATGCAGGAACGGCAGCGATGACCTGACACTGATCTGACCCCGGTCACTCATCTGTCTTAAGGTGGAATTTCAGTAATAGCTGTATTTATGTTGTGTGTCAGTGGGAGGAACATTGCGGCAGTATCTCTGCTCAGATTCATCATCCTGACTGTCCTCTGAGTTAATTTTAGCTCCTGTTTACTGAAGATTGAGCTCTTAAACAGCTCTGAGCCTGAAACTCTTCAGCCTGTCCCATCTGTCTCCCAGTACCAGCTCTGATATTTGATAAATAAGAGCAAACACTGTCACTGCACGAGCCAGATCGACTCTTTATTCCCATCAGTTTTAATAGAAATAAATCAGATCCTCACGGCGTCCTTGGTGACAGTGTTTATTCTCCACATAATTTGTGCTGTCATGTCCTCGCAACAGATCAAATAAACAGAATCAAGGACTCAGAGGAGATAAAGGGAGTTCAACCAGGAGGGACGTGGAGATATGACAATTCCCTGAATGTCTCTGTCTGTCTGCAGCCTATGTACAGAGTAACATTTCAAACTGTAGAGTTTTACCGTCCTTGATGTTCAGCATGTGACGGTTTGCTCAGTTCCAGATGTCAGATTGGATCTGTACTGCTGCTGCTGCTGCTACTCTTTGGCTGGTTCACAGAGGTCTGCGTTTCCTCATACATGACTCTGTGTGTTAGGGAGACAGACACTCTGGATGAGCGCAGGATCTATTTTAGACTGAGTGAGAAACAGCTGTTTAATTCAGCACCAAATGTAAATCAATTCTTGTTTCAGGGTCTTTTCCAGGGGTGTGTCCAGACATTTTGACTGGGGTGGCCTAACTGACCGATGCAGGGAGGGCACTGAGTATGTGTTCACTCTAAAGGCATCTTATAGCATTTATTTACTGTTTAAGTCTCCATGAGTTATACCTGCTTTAACTGTTGATATTAAAGCTTCTCTGAGGAACTTTCTTTTTTACTGATTTTGGCGCCCCCTGTGGACATATATGTCCACCTTGATGCTTGCTGATTGACTTGGCTTTGATAGTTGCACATTATCTCAAGTTTTAGAGGAAATAATCTCTGTTTTAAATCACTTCAGTGAAGAGGGCCATTCAATGGTCAGGTTACGATAAGAGCACCCTCTGCTGGATCATATGGCAAACAACTTCAGAAGACATCCTAATAAACTGTTGTGTCTGCACTTCAGTTCTAATCTAAACGTTCACTTTTAAAGTTGTTTGAGTAATCACTCTACTGACTATGACTAGCCAAACAAATCTCTGTTTTATATGTCATTTTAAAACATCTTGAGGACGCTTTCAGGTGTCCTCTTCTTTTCTACCAATTTGCTGATCTGTTTTCTCCTATTTCACCATAACATCCCCGTAACCTGTTACTTAGACAAAATTACAGCATGGTCATTTAAGCTTGACATCGACATTCCATTAGACTGTTTTATTCATTTATTTATTTATTATCAACACCAGGGTATTGCGAAAGTCCAAATTCACATGTTTGATAGTTTTGGGGAGTCTTGGTTTGCTAATCCGCTTTTAAAGAGGACCCCTGCCTCCCCTGGCCAGCCACCCCTCTGGACACAACTCTGGTTTGCACCACCAAGAGCTTCTGTATGAATGGGGGGTTCTTCCTGCTCCTTATTTCCCAGGCTTTGCATGGTGTGTTTATTTGCATTAGCTGATGAATACTTGTGTTTATAGCTTTCCAGAGTGAGTATTATTTTGTTTGTGTGTCTGGCTCTCTGTTTGTTTGTGTTTGTTTGGGTGGGTGCGTATATGTGGAGGTCTAGCACTCCAAATAAAA